GGCCGCTGCTCTGCCCGGCGGGGGACGGGCCGGGCCGGGCCGGGCTGTGCTGGGCTGTGCTGGGCTGTGCTGACTCACTCCTTCCCGAAAAGGCTTTTGCATTCAAGCCATCGTACCGAAACACTCGTGAAACGTAGTAAACCCAGGCTGCGCCGCAGCGTGTGCACCCGAATTGTGGCGGAACGATTGTTGCAGAATTAGAAATGCCAGGCGTGGCCCGTAGTATTTCTGCAATCTGCTGGAGTCACTCCGAGCGGCGGAGTAGGAAGGGGCTGGTTGATTAAAACGTGCTTGGGCTTGGAAAAAAGCATCGTGTAATGTCCCACAGGGGAGACTAAGCACGAAGTAATCACAACCTGGAAGGCATACAGCTGCCATTGCTTAGGGAACAGGCGGGGAGAGAGAAAATAAAACCAGAAAACATGCCAAGAACGGTAGTAGGTGGGCTCCAGAGTATAGAACAGCGTTGTTAGCGTGTGTATTGAAGAGCTAGATTAGTATTTTTTTTTACCATATAGCTGCAGTGTTTTTATGTCATGCAAAATCATGTGCCCCTCATTACTGTGAGAGGAGGCTGAGCAACCTCAGCCACAGTGAACCAGGTGAGTGAGCAATACAGAATCATGCATTGAGAGGAAAATTACATGTCCCATGGCAGTAAATTAGCTTTGCCTATTTAAGAAAAAGGATTCATACATCATTGTGAACAGCTCAGTGAAACCATCTCTGCAATATATAGTACTGACAGAACAGAAGTGAACAAGATATGATGCCACTGAAAGATTACAATATAATAAGACAGATTTCTGTATAATGGTGAATAATGTATTATACGTTACAAAGACAAAGATATAGTGAATGGTACTGGAAAACTGGAATTTATATTCCTACCTACTGTATTTCAGAAAAGGGACCAAACCCAACATGACATAGACAATAAAACCACTTTATTTTACCTCTAATTAATAATGCAAGTAATCTCTGAGGCCAACATTTTAACAGAACATTGGAAGAATTTTACTTCAGTATGTTTCATTAAAACATCCATTGCTATTTAAAATGGATTTTAGAAGTACAAGGAGCAAAATTACCACCACTTGAAGGCATACCCCATGTTTCATGGGAAAAAGTTACAATAAAGGCAATTCAATTTATTTGATGGCTTTTTGCACTTACTTGGCAAGACCTGACAGTCACATCTCTCAGGTAGAGAATCATGCATCTCCTGTACTGTGTGTTTCTGGGGACACATGGCTGCAGTACAAGAAGTCAGCAGCTGGGAACTGCATGCTTAAGGGTGAATTAGTTTTTGTCTCATACTTGGGGGCTGTGAAAAGCTTTCTCCTATAAACCATGTTAAGATGCTGTATGTGATATGGGGCTTATTAATAAAACCAAATGCCAGGGAAAGATGGTAAACAGTAGAGAAGACTTTTTAAATGTAGTAATTGATTATTTGATATAATACTTATACAAAATTGTGTATAGAGATGTGGCAGTTTGCCAGATATGTGGGGGAAAAAAAAAGATGGTGTGTTACAAAGGCCTCAAATTATATCATACAACTTTTGGTCAGAGGCTTTTTATTACCCCTTCATAGAAATAGGCTTCTGTAGTGCAGCCTTCTGTGGCCACTTCCACCCTCTTCGCACTGCTCAGATTTCACAATAATTAGAATTTTTTTATTGTCAAGTAAAGGGTGTAAGTCTGCAAGGTGGCTGAGGAAGGCCCTCCTGTTGAGTTATGAGGTCCAGAATGGACCCCATTTCTTCCTGAACTGCTCAGGGAGGAGTCTAGGTGCAGCTAGATCCAATCCCAGTCCCACATTTGGTCAACAGTTTATGTCTAAAGGATTATCAGCAGCCACATATTGGAGTCAATGTTTGCCTATTTCAGAACTCCACCCATGGACTTGCACTGAGATGGTTTTGCAAAGTTGAAAATATAGTCAGTTAAGGCAATAGATATAACAAGTTTGGAATTGCCACTGTTAAGTACACTTACTGCAAAAATTTGAGTTTGAGTTAGTAATTCTGGGGTAAATTTCTGACAGAACCAGAGGCACAATCTTACCAAAGAGATGTCCCTGTTTGGGGAAGAAGAGAGGATTCAGACCCATCTGGAATAGCTGGAATTCTCTTCCTCAAAATACAATAAAATAAAATAAAAATTCTAAAAGCTAATTTTATACCTATTGATGAGGTGGGATTAGGTCACAAATCATGTGCTGACTTGTTCTTAGCAGGCTCATGTTTTCAGTAGTTTAGCATACAGTCTCTTCAAAGCTCGGTTTTTCATCAATTTGAAAGGTCATAAAATTAAAAAAAAAATAAGAATAAAAAAAATAAAATGAGCCACAGAAAAACTCAGCAGTGATTATGTTAAGAAACAGTGTTCTTAACGTATACTCTATTTGAATACCACAGTACTGCAGTAAGAGAGCATTTGTCAAGAAATTAATTTAGCTTTTATTTAGCCTCCTGGAAATTTAATATCCAAGGCTGGCTATAGATGTTCACATTTACTGTTCATTCCTGGGTTATGATGACTAGCTGGAAATACCACATGTGCATCTAGCTCATTACATTTCAGTTATAGAATTACACTGAACTCTTGAGATTGTCATTACTACAGTTGAGTGTGGAAAAATAAGACTTCATGTTATTAGATCATTTTAAGATTTTCTGTCCTAGAACAGTTTGAAAATGATAAAGCATGACACATTTTATAATCTTGTAGAAACTTTCTGATGGTTTTAAGCACAGTATTTCCTTCATTATTTGGTCAATTTAAAAAATCCCAAGCTAAATATATGCACAATACAGTGAATGAAAAACCCCACAACAACACATACAAAATGTTCTTAATTTAAGAATTATTTTTCAGAGAATTTGACAGGGAATGTATCGTTCATAGACTCTGAACATCTCCTCTATGTAAGCAATCTGATGGAATACTTTTCCCCCTCACCACGTGTCTCACACGTTCAGTGGAACAGCAAAAGGAGGGGAGACAATTGGACAAGAGTTTAAATTTTGGCCTTCATCCAAGTACAATGCACAAATCAGCAGCTAGAAGCAGCAATACAAGTAAACACGGATATACAGGCGCACAGTGCTCATTAGGGGAGCCAATGGCCCTAAAGGTATGCTTCCTGACCTTCATGACATTGTTGCTTCTCTCCAGAATGTTTGGCTGTTGGACCATACTTACCACACATAGAAAAAAAATATCTCTGCAATGTCTCTGGCATAAGATATCACTTAGAAAATGTATGTTGCATCCCAGCTGGAGTCAAGTACCATCTGTGTACACTTCTGGCTCCCACCTACATGAAAACAAGCAGCTTAGTAGCCCTCCCAGTCTCAGTCTAGCTGTCAGATGTATTTGAATTGAAGGGCTGGCTCAGGTGTATTCATTCAAGTAAATGGTTGCTCTCCCTTCATCCTAGCTAGGTACTTAATTGTTTGCAACTGTTTGGATGCCCAAACCTAACTGTTGCCATGCTATTTTAATTTTTTTCTTTCACTTCTAGCTCCTTTTCAATTAACAAAATCCTTCTTGGAATTTCATGATTGCTGCCTCTGAACTGATACAATAATGTATTTGTCAGAGTCTGCCTCCAGGGAAGTTGTTTAAAGTCATATTTGGGCTTATTATCCACCCACTCTTGTGTCACTTGCAGCAGTAATTTTTTTCATGGTATTGTTTTTTTTTCCCAGATGCATTACTCTTTGCAGTTTTTCATTCCCCTGATGCTTCCGCTTTTGCCACTCTAGGTGGGAAAAATTAAAACAGTTCTACTGTACATATCTCTACTTAAGCAAAAATCATGTCCCCTAGAGTGGCATCTGCCCAAAACAGAACTTTTAGACTCCAGTTCCTGGTCCTTGTACTAGGTTTTGTCAAGCAGTTTCCAAGTGCAAGGACATATTCTCTTTACAAGTTATGTTATCCCAGGCAGGAAGTATAATTTGATAGCAAGTACCAGAGCAGCTCAGGTCTCCCCAGATTCAGACTACCTTTATCCTGGTCTTTGTCTCTGCTTCAGGCAATACATTCCACCCCCTCTCATATGCTGTCCCCAGCACTAGTTTGCAATGGGGAGCTCTTTTTGGCTGTGGTAATTTCTAACTGAGACACCTTCCCCCCCCTCTCCTCTCATCCCCTATCACACATGTGCTGCTGGCCATGGAAGTGCACAAATACACAGCTCCCAGGAGCAACACCTTACTATGTCCCAATACTCACTACTGCCTGGTTAACTAGATCAGCTAGTTTGCCAATTTTAAACAGTCTGTGGTATTTCTGTATCCCCCGCAATTCTCTGCACACATTTGTTAGGGAGCCTGGCTGACTAACTTAAGGCTTGGTATTTTACTGCAGAGATTTGAATACCTGGAAGTTTAGAATTACAGCACTATGCTCTTTTGAACCTAGGTTGTAGCCTCTGAATCAGGGTTAAAGTGAGTTCTTTGTTTAAACCCAAACTTACAACCTCAGGCAAATCACCTAAAATCACCTAATAGTAAAAACTCTTGTTAAAAAGCATGGCTTATGGGTATAGCTGCTTAAAAAGGAGAATTATTATAAATCTATTGTCAGAAGAAAACTGTAAATAAAAAGTTACTTGCAATGGATAGCTATGAAACAGGAGCTGGAAAAGTTCCTGTGCAAATATATTGATTTAATTTAGCATCTTTTTAAGTTAAGGTGGACATATAAAAAGGTAACTCAACTCTGTAGTTTAAAAAAATAGCCCACACCACAGGAGTAACAGTTTATTTGCTTACATTGAATAAACAGAAACATTACTAAAACTTATATATGTTTAGTATGTTGCTGTTTCTTGCATGTTTATATATAAAAATTTAGATTTTTATATTAAAATGTATATTAAGATTTTTATGGAACTCTCCTAGCTAATAATGTTCTTCTGTGGGAGGAATTTTTAAGTCAAACTAGCAGTAAAAATCAACATGACCCATTCAAGATTAAAACATTCCTCCATGCATTCAATTGTGTGTGTAAGAAAAAGAACACAATATATCCAAGGGCACCATCTGCTGACAGGTTCAAGGTGCCAAATGCTTTCATGGATTTTCAGCTATGGGGAAAAATACTGTATATTCAGACCTCACATATATGAAAATATTATTAATACTTTTAGCTTAATTTTAAGGGGAGCTCAGACCTGGTATTACAACAGATCAGTTTTCTTTGAGATTCATTTTTTGAATAGTGAGCTTTTGGTCTGATTCTTTTCCCTCTGCAAGTATTAAGTCCATAGCTCTTTTGCCAGAAACTGTTTTGAAAATGTCCCCAGTCGGGAAAAAGAGCAAGACACATAGAGAATAGCACAGAATGTTGAATCAAAGCAAAGTGAAAAATTCCTCGTTTTTTCCTTGTTTTGTTTCAAAGCATCCTTGGTGGAAAAGAGGATATAGCTATTGAAAACCAGGCAGTTTGACTAACAGTATATTCCAGGTCACTGCCAAATAGTATTTCTTCAGGCTGATAGCTTTCTTTTGTGGCATACACATGCATTTGCAGTGGAAATAATTTGTATCGACTTACTGTCAGAAAGTGCAAGGAGGGAACTGCCAGTGAGATTTTAAACATCAGAGTTCAGACAGAAGTATTACAGAGCTATCCAAAGCTGCAGATTTAAATCATTTTATCAGAATTTACAGCTGGTCTGGATGTCAGTGGGCAGTTCCTAAGCATGCACTGATTATCTGTTTAAATTATTACAGTTTTCTTAACTTACAGAAGAGAACAAGAGCTGGTTTTGCAAAAAGCCTTCATTTACACAACTGCCACATAATTTAGGTGCAGCATACACATTGTTTCTGCTGCCAGAAATCTGTTGGCTTTTGAGTAAGGTTTTATTGAGCACAGTGGCTGCTGCCTATCCAAGGGGTGCCTCTATAGCAGATGGCAGGGCCCACTATGCTGCCTTGTTTTCACCTGTCTTTGTATGTCCAGCTCTTTTATACAGAATTCTGTGGCAGAAAAACAAAGCTCATTAAAGAAATTATCAAAAGAAGGAAAAAAGTACATTCTCGGTGATGATGAGATGCCCCAATTCAAAACACTTGTACATATCTGTAATGAAAAACAAGATTTTTTTTTGGTGATAAAAGAATCTGAATGATACACACTGCAAAGAAAATCAGTTTCAGGTGCATTTATTTTGAAATAAACAAGAATATTATATGCATATATTCATATTAAATACCTTATTAAATATGAGAAAAAATACTCTTAAAAACTAATCTGACACTTTCACATTCTATTTTTATTAAGTTATTATAGTTAGGAAATATATAGAAAAACTAAAATTGTCTTAAGCCAGCCATAAAAGCAAAGTGCACTATTGCTTAGGGCAGTGGAGGAGCAAGATGATGATGCTGCTGCTGCTGCTCCCTCAAAGGGGAAGATCACTGTGAGTGGGCAGTAGTGAATGAAGAGGAAGGAGGGGAACCCCTTCAATAACTCCCTGACCTTTCTGCCCATTTTTGTCCTTCATCACTGAAGTAGCAAATTGGGTTTTGCATATGCTGACAAGAAGCAGTGAGACAGTTCTGTGTACCAAGATGATACATTGAATACAATTAATTCCCTAAATGATCACACAGGAATTGCAGCTTATCCATGTTCTGTTCTGTCTTTACTCCAATTTATTTGATTTTTCTTGTTGTTGGTAGTTCAAGGACTCCAAGGTGGAAATTTGCTAAGTACATATATTGAAGTATTAACTATCCTTCAAAAGTCTTCTAACTGGCTTTTTCTCAGATAAAAGCCACATCTAGCACATTTTTTTCCCTAAAATTACCCGAGTGGGATTTCTTACTAAGCACCTGCCTTTTCATTTTGTGTTGATTTTTTTTTTTTCAGAGATCAGTCTTATTGTAAATGAAATATTTCTAAACTTATGTGTATTTACACAGATTCTATAAATCTTTTCACATGTGATGTAAAACAGTATTTGAGCAACATGTGCATTAAATACTATTTTGAGAAGTTTGCTTACAGGTATTTTGAGTAATAAAAGATTAAAAACCATTAATTTTGTTCTATTTTAATTATCAAACTCCACCAAATATTTGCTTTACTGATAACAATTTATTGACATAAATTTTTGTGTGTGTGTATTCAGCTAGAAATATTTCAAGGCACAGTTTGTTCCTAAAAACATACAGATTTATTGAACATCCAAGGACATAGATGTATGTGTTCATCTTTGTTTGGGGTTAATTCACACTATCTAACAATCATCTTGAAAGGGAGTGAGGAAAATGATGTTGCTGAATACCAAAGAAAAAATGTAGAGAATATGAAAACCAAATGTAACAGTATCCTGATCACTGTTTCAGTAACATCTAAACCCACACGGCATAAAAGGGCACAGCAGGTACTGACTGCCTTTAGTTTCTGTGTAAGGCCTAATTTATGTCTAACACTATTAAATAATATTATTTAGTGAGTATTGCTCTGTACTGCTGCATGCATTTAGGTTTTGCTTTGCCTTTTTCTTTGACACAAACACAAGTTATACATCTATTTGTCAGAGACTGCATTCCCAAGTAGCAAATGAAACAACTATAATTTCTATTCAGTGCCACATCTTATTTCATATAAAAGTGCACTATTCACAAGAAACACATAAAGTTTTACTCTACCAGAAATATATTAGTGAATGTATATATATGACAATAAATTTTATAATAAATAATACAAAGTGTGTGTTAATTAACATGAATTTGAACATTTTTACTTTACTTCAATATCCTGCTCATAAGACATCTTAAAAAATTTTAAAGGATAAATTAATAAACATAATAGTAAGACTTGGGAGATTCTGAACATTATAGTCCATACAGTACCTTTCATTCACATTACAACCACAACAGGTTTACTCTTTTTAAAAGTAACAGCTTTGTTAGCTTCTAAGAATTCAATCTGTACATTCAACTCTTGTATAACTGTTATGCTACGGAGTGTATTCTCATTCCCAGTTTAGCACCAGCTTTTAATAGTGCTGTTCTGAAAGCAAATTCACAGCCTAAGCTGATGTGGGGCAGTTTTCACTTCATTGCCAAAATGTTTGCCTACCCAGATGTAAAACTTAGTTTTGTTTTCTCTTGAATGACAAATGTATTTCAGAATAATAAAATATAATATTAAAAATGTATTCTTAAAAAAAACCTTCTGCCAATCAGGTGACAGTTTGTAATTTAAATAAAACACATACTTAAAAGTGGTTGTTAAAAGAGTTGATGATCACTATATTAGGTGAAAAAGAACTCCTGTATTGTCTACTGCAGCTGGAAGATTTACAATTCACCTGGGTTGGTTTGTTCTTCATAAAAATTCACAGGAATAAATAGTTCCAGCCAGTGCAGATAATCCTTCTGCCTTCCTTTATCTCAGTGTATCTCGCCTCCGAAATTGCTTCCATAGATCTCTGAGATGTTCACTGGTTACAGTCATCACACAAGAGTAATACTCCTTCCAACCATACTTTGGAGTCTCCTGTGAAAAGTGAAAATATACAATTGGAAAAGGACACCGTTCACTAAATTTCTTAATACTATATTAAATTTTACTCAGACTCATATACACTAGATTTATGTTTTAGTATTAAAATCACGAAAGATCAAATACTTCTATGGTTCAGAAGTTCTTCTGTATAATGAGGGTTATAAATCTATACAGAAGTTAACTATTCAAAATGCATCCTCACTTCAAAGCACAGTTCTGATTCAACAAATAGCCTATGTATATTAAAAGCTGTCAAAAAGGATTTCCTCTTTATTCAGGTATGTCCTGCTCTCTCTCTAGTTTTGCATTGGGCTTCTTCATGCCTTCATTGTCCTTAAAAATTCACCTCTAACACCACATAAAAAGCACAGAAAATGATTGATCTTCATTAAACTGAGGCATTAGCAAAAGCCAAATACAAAATAGGCAGATGATAGGAAAGCTTCTTTATACTAGGCTACCTTATTCCTGAACTGCACTGTAGTTCATTGACCTGAATGAACCCACTGAATGGAGAGGATTGTCAACTAAGGGCTTGCCTGGGCGGTCCACTAGACACCATGCTGCCTGTAGTTATCACTGCATCTCAGTATTTCTTCTGCTATTCTAGCTTCATAACTCTATTTTGATAGTAAATACAGAAAGACACAGAGGGGCTAATTCAGCTGGGGAAAGTGGCTAAGTAAGGAACAGGAATCGTAATTGTAGATAAGTCAGAAGCATTTACAAGTAACTAAATTATAATCTATCTTAGAAATTAAGTCCAGTATCTGGAGGTAAATGGTTACAGTGTCAAGGTGAGAGATTGTCTGATAGTTTGTTTTGGTTGAACTGCGTGAAGCAGTTAAACATTTTGTGACATCGCAGCATATTAAAACCAACCATCAGAGAGCAAAGCCTACATTTAATTTATTCATAATACTCATCTTGTATAATTAAAAACCACAGAACGTTATGCAAAAGTTTTAAATATTCAGAAAAAAACCCTAATGCCCAGCAGCATATAATCCAGACTTTAAATGAAATATTAGAAACAATACTTACATGAATGCATAATTTAGTTGAGATTTATGGTCAGTCTTACAAAAAATAAAATTATTACTTGCAAAATGCATTGCATTACTTAAGACAAGCATGTTCATTGATTAACTAGTGCTTTGAGATACAAATTTATTTTATGGAATATGTTCAGTGATATTCATGAAAATCTGTAAATGAAACACTGAAGTACTTTAACTGTTCATCTACTTATTTCTAAAGTATGCATTGTTGTTGTATCTACTCTCAGTGTACCAAATCCATATAAAGAACATTTTGTCCTTGTACTCTGCAATACTTTCACATTTCACTGGAACATTTTCCTCCTGCTGTATCCACGTATGTTTTTAAGATTCTCATCAGTTTTAGGATCAAAAGTCTGGATTCTGTAATTTTCAGTTACTTTTGTAAGATGAGTTGGGTGTGCCTATCATACATTTCCCTCTTTATTTACTTTATTTGCTTTAGAGAAGAGTTAAGCAACACTTTTCAAATAGTAAGCAACAGACTTTTCAAGTAGTAAGCAACTGTTTTTTAAAATACCTCTTACGATACATGCGTTCAACTGCTGTACATTAGGCAAGTATGGATAGTTAGTTTTTTAAAATACCTCTTACGATACATGTGTTCAACTGCTGTACATTAGGCAAGTATGGATATTAAAAGCTTTCAGAATATTAACTACATGACATATTTTGAAGCTGCTTGACTGAATTAAGTATTTATTATACTGTTGAAACATGACTACCAATGAGGTTCCAAATCCATGCTTGAGTCTTTAATCTCTTTATCAAAATTAAATTTCCTTCCCTTGTCAGTTCCAGGACTCTGCTTGCAAATATTCACTATTACTTCCTAAAAACCTTTAATCAGAAATATAGACGCTCCACAACATTCAGAACATCTAGGAAACAGTTCTTTTAATGCAAAAGATATTAAATAAATTACTGGGACTTACAGCTTATTTTCTAGATTCAAAATTGTGACATACAGTACTTATTTTCAATACTTTAGAAGTGAACAAAATTGGAATTACACCTTAAGTATCTCTTACAGGTTCTGAGAATGCAGTGTAATGAACAATACTTTCAGATGGACTTGAATCCCTCCTGAAGTTGGCCTCTAGCATCTTTCTTTGGAAATTACCTCTTGAAGGATTTTGTTAGACATTTCTTAGATAACCCTTCCATAAGGCATTCGCAGTGGAGCTCTCCTGTCAGCTGTTTGGCAGTTCCCCCTTACCATGTTTTTTTTGTTCTCCCTACAGCACACACAAAGAAGGACCTGCCAATGCCGAGTCAGGCTTCAGGGAGCAACCTCTACACTATGTCAGCAAGGCTGCCTGCAGGCAGGTCACTGCATTGACAACTAACAACTGACTAGTTTCTCTCTACTGTCTCCCAGGGTGTAGTGGAGATAACCATTAGTCAATTTTAATGTGGTTTTTTTTCCATGAGAATGACAGAACAAACAAAAATATCCCTTTCTAAAATCTCCACTGTATTTTTTCCCCCAGTTTAATCCTTGTCAACAGATGAGTGAATCAATTTGTTGCCTGAGTTCACATCTCTGTCCAGGTGTCCAGATATATACACTTAATGTTTTTACCAGTCTCTTGTTTTACCACCAAGCTGATTTTATTTGCCTTGATTATTAGACATAAGATTATTTTGTGTTACACTGCATTTTGTTGCAGTTGGTCACACACCCTGCATTGAAATTATTGGGAAAGCATTGTGACTGTGTAATATTTTGCCAGTTTTCCCATAAAATCTGTTCCCTATCTTGAAAAGTTTACAGTTTAAACAATACTTGATATGCAGTTACAATGTAGGCTGTGGCAGAATTGGCAAGGACAAAAAGATAAGGTACTTCTAAAAGGATGATTTTTAAAAAGACATGGGAGAGAAAGGAAGAGCCGAAAGTTTCAGAGATGAAATTACATAAAATTAATCTAAAGCCATTAATTTATCTTTATGTGACTGGTGAGTTGGATTACTAAAAATGTTTTAACTATTTCATTAGTCATTTACACTTCCTACTAATCAGGTGGAGAAACTAGGCGCTTTGTTAAGATCCAATTTCCTTTTCTGTGCCTCACATATCAGAACAATGCTTCAGTATGTGGGTTATACCCAAAAGGGGGAAGTAAAAGTTTTAAAAAATGTTAATATTTAATCAAAAGAATAAAAAAAGTCATATGGATGCTACATTTTAGAAGAGAAGAGCATAAGATCTCTCTGGGAGGACAAATCAGATGCGTAAGCCTCGACATGCCCCGAGCTATCCTTATAGCTGAATTTCAAAGAATCTGCCTGTTCAAAAGATGTGATGCTTCACTGAACAAAAAATGGTATGAAGAGTCCCAAAGACCACAACTTAGGATACATGACATGCTGTGCCACCGGAATAGGTCAATACTTTAGATATATTCCCTCTACCTTACCGAACTTGCAGAGGTGTACAAAAAAAAAAGATCAGTGGGGACTGGTGAGCTGGTGGGCTACTAGTCTGAGGAAACAGACCCACTTTCCATACTCCCATACTTACATTTTTGACTGCGCCAGAAGCCAAACATCACCTCAAATAAACAGGATCCAAGAAACTTCTGTTTACCATACTGACATTCCTTTCCTGCCATGCTGTTTCATGGTTAGGGAAGAAAGACTGAAACCAGCCACCCCAGCACACTCACTGGCATACAAGTACTCAGAGGCATATGAAAGGAAAGGGTGCCAATATGCTGATATATGGAGGCATCTGAAGACTGTTATTTGACAAAAAAATCTCAGCTTAACATTGTCTCCCAGAATTCAAAACAGAGGAGGAGGAATGACAGTCAAACCCTCCTAACTCAGGAGCACAGTATGTGCTGGCTACTCTATGGGGTCCACTAACACCAGACCACTGGCTACACTGGGTCTTATTTGTCATATCATACATCTCTTTTGTTCCTCCCCACTGAAAAATAATAAATCTGGGACATATATTGACTGTTAACAGCCTTTGTTTTTACACTGAAACCCACAATGTAATTGTAAGAATGTATATTCGTGTAGTGGATATGCAGAAACAGTCATGGTGGTCTTATGTGGGCACAGTGCTGATTTTTGAAAATTACTGGTACAGCATTAATTGAGCCAAAACCACATTACTGTTTTCTAAAGTGTAACGGAAAGTAGAATCGTTACCAACAACAACAACAAAAAATCTGCCTCTACAATTGCCACTGGTAAACACTTGATTAGACATAGGCACCTGAGAAATTACTTGAGAAGCGGTCACAGAACAGACAGAAAACAGCAACAGAAACTACAAAAGAATACTCTTCCTTATTTCAAACACAGTACAAAATCGCAGCTGGCTTACAGAACAGTGACAGTGCGAGTCAGCCATCGTGGCCTCCAGAATAAAATTCTGTTGCTTCAGCCAAACCCATAATGTGACACTTTGAGCGGCTACATTGCTTACAGTCAGATACCTTACTTCTGAATTTTGGAACAGGAAACAAAGCAGTGACAATTAAACATTCAGCCATTCCTGCAAGCACGCCAGCACACTCAGACTGGGCAGCTAACACATACCGTCATTCATCTGCTATAGAGCTCCTTCCTCACGCAGGATTTGAAAGTAGTGTACCTCTGTACAGGTTTGTAGCCCTGTGGAGCAGAAGACGGAGAAGTGTGCAGATGCAGACAACATGTGAAGGCAGCCAGAGGTAAGCATAAGACAACGGGATCATGAAAATACAAAAAAATGGCTTTAAGTGATGAATAGCCAGAAGATACAGTATAGTATGTGCTAGGTAAAATATTTATCATTCAGTCATCAAGTTCCAAATCTTTCAGTTTAAAAGTGGAATTTATAAAGGAAAAGGAAATCTTCTTACATATTTTAAATTTAAAAAAAAAAACCAGAAGAAGGGAAACAACTATTTTAAATCAAACAGCTAACAAAAATAAAGCTTTTCATGTTTGCACGTTTTAATAAGTTTATGGCAATACTCTGACTGACCACTTGATGGCAGCTTAATATACTAGTTTGTTTCAAAACTACTAGACCCAAAACAAGGTTTTGGATTATAACTCTGTATTCCTGAAAGAGAGAAATTTAATTTGATAAACTTTTTTAGACATGTGCTTCTCCAAAACTGTATCTAAAATAGATGTCAAAATCAATATTTATTATGTTCCTAAAAGGTATAGTATCTGACCTTCCTCAAGTTTGTAAGCCTATGGTTAAGCTTTTAAATTGGACAAAGTTAGTAGCTACTTACTGATATTTCAGAACTCCAGTTTCATCAGAATTCTATAACTCTTTGCTCTTAAATATGTTTGCTTTAGTCAGACTATATAACTACAAAATGCCCTTTTCTAAAATACACAGTACAAGTACCAAGCTTTCTGATGCCCTCAAGGTTCTGGGCAAATATTTTTAGTAAAACAACTTTTAAAAAAAGTCAGATTACTAAATATAAGATATCAGTTGTAAAATTGTACTTCAAATCACAGGCCTATTTTAAACCGTTATTTTCAAATTTTTTAGTGATAATCAGAGATTACACTGATTTGGGCAGGCATTAACTGTAGGCATTAATTGTAATTAACATTAAAATTAGGCATTTACATTTTATAAACAGGTTCAGATTTGTCATGGCAAAAATTTCCATGTTGCTACAAAATACTGCATAAGTACAAGCTATAATGTCTGTATAACAGAGCTGATGAAATCTAAATATGGATTCAAAACAGTTACTAACAAAGAAAAGGGTAGTGATTTCCTCCCTTATGAGGAAAGGCTGAGGGAGCTGAGTCTCTTTAGCTTGGAGGAGACTGAGGGGCAACCTCATCAATGTTTACAAATACATTAAGGGCGAGTGTCAGGAGGACAGAGCCAGGCTTTTTCCCATGACATCCAGTGATGGGACAAGGGGTAATGGGTGCAAACTGGAACATAGGAGGTTCCATGTAAACATCAGAAAAAACTTCTTTCCTATGAGAGTGACAGAGCACTGGAACAGGCTGCCCAGAGGTTGTGGAGTCTCCTTCACTGGAGACACTCAAAACCCACGTAGATGTGTTCCTGTGTGATGTGCTCTAGGTGACCCTGCTCTGGCAGGGAGGTTGGACTGGATGATCTTTCGAGGTCCCTTCCAACCCCTAGGATTCTGTGATTCATTAGTTTTGATTTACCACACATTTCAGCCCTATCCATTGTAGAAGGAGCAAGAGGGTAACTTTTACTTGTTCTGGCCAGACTAAATACCATGTAATTTTTGTGTACCAACAATAGGAAGTAATTCATGAGACTTTCCACCAATCTGTTCTGGGCAAATGGTTCTTAAGTGTTTTCTTCTTTTCTTTCTAAACTAAGATTGGAGTGGGTGGAGAATATGAAATAAAATTAAAAGGCAATTTTTTGGCACATTTTTTACTACTACCCACTCTTGGAAAAATCAGGCTTGTGTGACATGTACAAAAACTTCCAGGAAACTAATTCCTAAATTTGTTACTGTAACTCTCTTGAATACTACTGATTAGTGGAAAGAATGATTTTTTCTGCATAACCTAACAAGTCTGCATGTAAGCATGTCTGATATAAGTGATTTACAGGACCAAACACTTATTATCTCCTACGAAATTCAGGAGACACCTCATATCTAATTAAACTAAGTAACAATTTATGAAAGACTCTGCTTTTCTTCTGAACATCTCCGGCTATTCTTTACAGTTTTTTTTACAGTCCACTGGAATATTCTATAGTGGCCTAAGCAAAAGAAAGACTCATGCATAAGACTGATTAGTGCTGGATGATACAGATTCTTCAAGTTTATATGTGAATTCTGTCATGCATTTTGTGAAATAGAAACATGTAATACAAGGATTACTTAGTAAGCAGACTGTTTTCTGGTTGAATTTACATACACTGCACACTTACAATTTGGAGACAATAAAAACATATAAGCTGAACATCTTGACAGTTTTGAAACAATCATCATTCCCACATTGTAATAAAAATAACTGAGGACCAACAAAGAAGTTAGTTACAAATGCAGAGGTTGTTAGCCACATTTTACATTCAATCATAGTATTACAAAAATAACAAGCAAACCATTAGACTCAACACCACTTCACAGAAAGTTTAGGAAGCTAACTAAAAATTCCTAAAATGTTATTACAGAAATAACATACTGAAATGTGAATTTAGGAACCATAACACAGTTTAAGTTTTATGTCTAAGGGATTAGGTTGTCAGTAGAACACCATGCTATATTTAGTTTACATGTTAACACCTGTCATACGAAGAAAAAAATGTGACTTTTATTGATCATACTCTAAATACAAAGGTGTAAGCTACTATTAAATTCCCCTGTACTACGCAGAACCTGAAGAGGGCAGCAAGACCTATATATTTACCTAAAAGACAAAGCATGACTTACAACATTGTTCCATACGAATTTTTCTGCAAGTAATTTCCTGCTCTCTAGCTTCTTGTAATTTAATATATTAGTTACAGGGTTAAATTATCAAAAGCAACTTTGAACTAGAATACTGCATTGTTCAGTAGCACTTCGCTAATTCTTTACTTGAAAATTAAACTACCTTCTGCTGCAAGTCTTTCCAACAGTCCTTGTCAAACCTTGGTATTTTAAACAATGTTTTAGAAAAGCCCACGGTTGACATTTAACTAAACTGCCTGAGTTTGAGAGAGACAAACTTTCTTTTTCCTTGCAAACAAGCCAGACTAATTGCTAGCCTTGTTAAAATTCTTAATACCAATCTGTCAATCACTCAACACAGAAAAAATGACAGCATGCAGAGGATTTCTCATCTCCAATTGGGTTTGTGTAGTTTAAAGGTACATTATGTCCTCCATCTGTTGGTTTCTAATAAAAAAAATAAATCAAGAATTTAAGCAGGAATTTATTTTACAGACTACTTCAGGATTTCTATAAAACATATTTCTCTAAACACACATACTGTTGGTTTGCAACCTGCTGGTGCTAGAGGTGTTAAAGGAAGTTGCAGTAAGTAGTAAAGTGAACTAAAAGAACTACAAAAATTAGAATCCTTACCCTAAACCCTCGATTGAGTCTATCTTTCATAATGCCGATAAATTCTTTGTAACTCAACTGGTCATCTCTGTCAACATCAAAAATCTTGAACACTGTGTTCACCAAATGTGATGAAAGCTTCACACCTGTGGCTACATACACAGCACGCTTGAATTCATCTGCATAAAGAGAACATCAGAAGAAAAAATAAAATACATTAATCCACTTTGTGGTAACATATTTCAAAATACAAGTACACTTTTAACTAGACTTTTAAGCACCAAAAAAAAAAAAAGAAAATATATGAAAATGTGAAAATTAGGAATAAATTTCACAGTTCCAAACCAAATAAATTTCAACTGATATAAAACAATACTGCTTAATTGGTATTGATTATTTCACACAAAAGATAACAGTCTATATACCATACTATGTGAAATAACAAAATTAGAAAATTGTATTATAATTAAACCTGTGTTACATGCACACCAATAGCATCTACTTAATTGTCACAAAATAGAACCTAAGAAATCAAACACAGTGAAAACAGTATACACCTTTGCTAAGGTCACATGAAGCAGGACTGTGTTGGTGTTACTGAGTTAGACCCATGAAAATGGTATTTGAGGAGAGCACACAAGTCTGACTTGTGTGTTGGATTCACCTGGCACTCCCCAAGCATCTCAACTGTTAAGGATTTTCATCAGTACATACTTGCCTAGTTCTTTCAGTACCCACTTAACTAATTTGTTAAAAAATCTGTCTGTTTCGTATCAACAGATTTTTATAAAAATATAAATACTTACCTTGACCTATGGAACGACTTGCAAAATTATACATTTGCATTGCAATTGCAAAGTCTTCTAGGTTGTTCAAGAATTGGAAAAATGATCTAAACTCATCAAATGTGATACCCTAGAAAACAGAAGAACAATATGCACCTTAAGAACTACAAGTAGTGATGGAAACTGAATAAATAAACCTTGCAGTGACAGGTGCCTACTTAATTTAAGAATAGCTACTACACTGATTGAAAAAAACAGAGATTTGTACTGAAAGCCAGTAAAGAACTGTAGCCTCTTGAGGAATGTAAGATGCCCTTTCTCTTTGCCACTGCAACCAATAGCAATTCTCACCCAAAAAGCAGCAAACATTTTTTTTTTTTCCCTTGCTTAAGGCAATCTTTCGGTATTCCAGGATTATTATGGTATGGCAATTAATATTGACAATAAGAGTCTATGTTTGTATGAATATTGGAATATGTTTACAACTGAAAACCTGCAAACCACTATTATACATATGTGAGTGTGCTTGCTCACATAAATACCTTCATTAATACACGGTATGATCTAACTTAAGCTCGGTACTTCAACGTGAAGTTTCTACATCTCCAGATTTAGACACCTAAGTCTCTCCAGTTGATACTCCCAAGTATCAAGTATTGCAGGGTTTAAAAAAAAAACAACTTTTGCATTTTGACTAGACTTCAGAATATCATGTGACAGTCCCTCCGAAAGTGCTGTTGTTAAAACAGCTATTTTTTTCTTCTTTCCTTATGATATTTGTTCTGCTTTTCTCTCAGCTACAAATCCAAAGACCAGATAAACTACCTCTAAATCCATTTTGAACCTTAAACAGACTTTGAATTAAGCCAAGACCTTTGCCTGTATCTGATTCTCCATGGTCTGTAAGCCATTCTGAACATGGGACAGTATTTTTCATCAAACCTTGATCTCCCTCGCCTCCACTATCATTCCTGGCTATTCTTCTTTCTGCTTTTATCCTTTTATTCTCTTTAGCTGCCTCTTTGAAAATTAACTTGAAGACAACAGAAAGACCTGTAAGCCTTTCTGTTCAAACTAAACTCTTGACTTACATCTCTCTTCAAAGATACAAGGTCATTATGGTACAGTGAAACAAAGAAAACATACTGAAGTAAGTTTGTGTCAGAGGAGAAAGTGGCAGAGGTTGGGCATAAACCCATATGAGAGAGCAAGTACCATGGAGATTGGAGAGCCTGACCCCTTTCCAACACAAATTGCTCTTCTCAACAAGCATACTTGTTTTCTGTTTCATCCTTTGCAATTGGGAGGAAACTGTCATAGATGCAAGCAGAACTACGTCCTTATTCTCCTTTCAATTTTTACTTTAAAAGCTTAATTTACTAATACTGAACAGTATTGTCATCTTGTTCTGTTGCATTTGACATCTCATAGTTTCTATCCAAGTTCTGTTTCTTGCACTCTCTTTAGACTAAAAGCTCTCTTGGACTGGACTGATTTTGTCACATATCTGTGAAATACCTAGCCCCCAACTAGGACCCTCAGGTAATATGGCAAAACAGCAACAATAGGAAATGGCCATCAAAGTCTTGAGCTGACATCTTTAGGTTTACAAATATTTTGAAAAATATTTAATTTGCACCAATCTGTCTGTAAAGATTCTGATGTGAGAGATAATGTAAGAAGCCAGGCTACTACTACTGCAAAAATCCTAGCTCTTTCCATGTAACTAGACAGGAGATTATCAGTCTGGATGGAAAATAGCCCTTGCATAGGAAAGGCTGAGAACTACTGGTCTACAAACCAGCCTTCTTGCAGCTTCTGTGTGATGAAAACTGCTGCCATGAGATGCCATTGTAGATGAAGGAGAGAGATGAAGAAGCCACATCCACAGTCCACAGCTAAACTGTAAATACTCCACAACATTCTAGCAATGAGAAAAATATCTGACTTTATTTAAGAGTTCTACAGTTTCTGCTGAAATCATCTGCAATCATACATGTTTATTTATTCTCAAAGAAAAAAAGCAAAGGATATGGAAGAGGCAGAAGGGCAGGCAAAATGGCACTCAAAGAGAGTTGGGCATACAGCATTCTACTGTCTCTCTCCTTTCCTAGGACCACATCTTGTTCAACTGGTATCTACAGTAACATTTCATATTTGCATACATTTTGCATTTTGACATAGGAAGTTATCTATGTATAAATATCCCAGAATTTCCCTACTGGAACCTATTTATTCCCTATGTAAAAGGAAGCTGTATTTTTTATTTATTTGGACAAAATGTATCTTTCTACAGCAAAGGAAACTCTTACATTAATGCAGCAGTGCTGTTAAAAATGCATAAACTTTCTTTAAGATATGATATTTGTAGTAATTCAAGATGGCAGCTTAAGTGAATCACTGCTTGATGTGTAGTTAGTAAAAGAAGCAAAAACCATCCTGTGAGTAGGCAGCGAGTCAGCTGAACTTTTTAATTTACCTCCAGTACAACAGATGATTATGGTGTTGCTTTAGAGGCTTCTACACGCAGCACCATGAAAGATTAACATTGCCAACTCTGAGAGTAGCTGCCTGCTACCTTTTTCATGCTAGATTAATTTTTCTTCTAAATGGAACCTCTTGTTTGTATTAGTATTGCAGCAGATCACTGTAATAAAACAGTTTTAAAACAGTTTAAAAATTATAATGTTATTACAAAGTGTAAAAAAGTGCAGATACATGAAACAAAGCCTCCATGACAGTAAGAGGCAAAGTCCCATTCTCAGAAGCCTTTGGCCAGTACAAGAGATGGCACAGGCATTTACTTTTTCCATTGTACTGACAGCACATTTACCAAGCCAGTGATATGGAGCTATGGAAAATGGCAATGTCTTGTTTTACTGAATGATGGTATAGGATATGACATACAGATATAAAGCACTGGTCAAGTGCAAGGATATTCCCAGGACACAGCATAAGTAAACTAATAACTGAGTGACACCGCTTTCTATGTGAAAGTTTTCCTCAGCTGATGGTCACCCACCAGAGACTGAGAAGAGGAAACTGCTGCGGAAGTCTTGCTATCAGAACAGTGGCACTGGAAGACTTAGAGATGAACCTGAAGAATAATACTTCCTTGTGTTTTAAAGGATGTGTCTTTATTTGTATTTACTTAATCAACTTCACCTTTGCCATTCAAAGAAGTATTTTCTTATACCCACAACTGTCAATATTTTTCAGTTACCCAAGTGATACTTATATTGTTGTTATACAAACCCATATGGACATTTTTTCAGATTTCCATGTATATGGAAACCTTGATTTCAGCCTAAACAAGTAACATCTGGGAACCATACAAAAAGAGCTTTATACCATTTCTGTTGCACTGTCATGTAATACAATGTTTGTTATCTAAACTTCAAAAATATTACTGGCTAAATCCCACTGAACAGAATTCTATGCTATTAATCCCTCTACTTTTTATTCAGCAAGTAATCTGAAAAACAAAAGACACACAGCTAAGTATCAGAATAAAATCATGGTGCTAATTAATTCAATAATGAAATCTCACTTAATCCAACAAGGCTGTATTTTCATCTTGATGAGAGTGGGATTGGTTGCTGTGGCCCACTGCTGTCCTAGCTAAACAATTACCTTTTCTTCAGGAATTGTGCCACGCAGATTTTCCAGGTAACTTGATGTATTTTCCACATTTGTATACCTCAAAAGAATATGGGCAAAGTCTTCCTCACTGATGGTGTTCATCCCATTAGAGTAGGAAAGGAATTCTATCTCTAGAACCTCAGTTTGTAGGTTATCCATAAACCTAAAGCACAGATATAAATATGAAGAAACAGTAATACTTTATATTTCTAGTATATGTGTCCTTAAAAGACTCACAGAATATAAAGCCAAAAAGCATTACATAAATTAGTTACCTTTTCCTAGCACTGATGGAAAAATTGATAAATCCCTTATCTATGTTGATGTCTAATCAATACAACATTCTTTACTCAAAGATGAAGTGTTTTAGTATTAAAATTACTCAATACTTGCATTTCTAATTTACTTCTAGTTTATGTTTGCTTAATTTTATTCTTCAGTGGGCCACTGATATTTATTCTTATATATTAGACTAAAAATTCCATCTCAGTACTAAACAAATTCCCAAAACTTATTCCCCATATAGTTACTTACAGATTGTGAGTAAAACTTACCTCTCCTTTTCAACAAGCTGTGGTAAGCTCTTGTTTGTTTTTTTGTTTGTTTGTTTTATTATTTTTTTTTTAATATTTCACTATTCTTATGTTACTCCTATAAACTCTTCCTATTTTAACATCACAGATTATTTTCTGGACACCAACACTGGACAAATTATAAAATGGAAAGGAAAATACAATGTCCCTAATTCTGCTTGATGTCCTAGTCATACAGCCAAGGATGAAATGAGCCCTATGGTCACATTACTATATTGGGAGCCCATGTTCATCTGATTGTCAACCCTAACCTGAAACATCTTGCTGTTACAGGTTCCCTAGACTTTCCATCCTGTAGATGTTGATTACAACACTGCTTCCTAATACATAACTTGACTTCCAAGAACTACGAGAGCTCAAATCAAGAGTATACCCAGGCAACTGTGTAACTGCAAGGTAAACATACAACAGTAATTTCCCCACTACTCCACAGTTTAAGGTTTTTTTGAGCTGGTATAGTAGTGTTGAGTAAGACTTGATAGATCCGTTTTTCATGAATATGTCTATTGGGTTTTGACTTTTTTCTTACAGGAACAGATGGACATTTTAACTAGATGCCTTTTTCAAAAGTACCTTCTCTTCTGGCTCTTGTTTTGAACTCGCATCATGACTTCACTTGATGACAGTTTTTATATTGTGTGAAACACTGAATACTTTTCAGAACATACATAATTTTATGGCAAAATAATTTGTAAACATCTGATTGATTAGAATGCACAGTTAAGTGATAACTATAAATACAACAGGAATTGTGAGTATTTACTGAGGAAACAATACCCTAACATTTAATCTCTTTCAGTCACACAGAAACATACAGTTTCATGGCTCTGTTTTCACAGCACTCTCCTTATATTTTTAAATTCTATTTTAACTGGCATAATAATTAAGCAAATAGCTTCCACTGTGTTTTTGCTTTTTCTGGAAGAAGCTTGATCTACACAGTACTTTCAGAAAAATCTTTACATTTAAATATTTTTTTAAGAGCAGAGATGCACATTAAGTTTTTTTTAAGCACTAACAAAGAAGGGAAAAAAAACAAAAATAATTCAAACCCAAGAAAAAAGTTCCTAAATACCAACAAGGACAGAGTTGGGGTATAACCTCTCCACCCCAAACCAAATATGCAAACAAGTGCAAACAAAACATGCAAATGCAGCAGTATTAGTACAGGACTTTTTATTACTTATTCATTTACTGTTTTATTTTGCTTCTGTGTATAGAACATATACAAAGGGAACACAGAACTTATATACATCTTCATAAACTACGTGTATAGCAATATAATACAAATTTTAAAAGTATGCAAGTATTTTTTACAAGGAGTTAATAAAACTGGAGACTCACCTATAAAAATCTTCAAAGTTGAGTTCAGCTTTTCCTTTCTTGCCAAAAAAGTGTACAAGCAGTGTAGTATCTGACAGTGAACTTGAAAAATCATCAGCACGCTTAAATATTAGAATAAAAAAAAAATTAAAGGCCATGACTGGATCAGTTAAGAAGTATAATCTGAGAATGCCTATCATCAGGATAGACCATTCTATTAAGAGCTTGTTTTATGTTCAGAGTCTTAAAGAGTTTAGTATTCAAATCCATTAAATTAATTTAGTCATGCCATTTCACACAAAATAGCACTAGGTTTGTAATTGCATTTAGTAGAAAACACTTAAAACAGCAATACAATATAATGGAAACTGCAATGAAGGGGAAAAAACCATGAAAAATAAAACCAGAAACTGTTGAGGAAAAAAAAGTTTTAGTCAGATGAGATAGGCCATAAAACTAACTCCCTTTGTACACAATCTCCTTTCCCTTCTACTATGCAACTATAAAGAAATTAAAGGATGTTATTTTATATACTCATTTTAAATTTCACAATCAAGTACGGGAAAATATTCCAAAACCACTCACATCATTCAGGTGTACTTCATAGCATTCTTTTCTACAAGCAGCATATTACTGAATTTTAGATTTTATTGCCCAAATACATTTAAAACAATAGAAAATTTGTAATTATAAAGTGATAGTTTGATGAATCATCTTTAAAATGTTCCTTATGTACATGATGTGCCATGAAAAACTATTTCATATCTACATTCTCTGAAATATACTATATTATTTCTAAATTTACATACCGATATGTAAAAAAATGTACAATGCAATGTCCATTAAGAGTACTTATATATCAACAAGGAACAACATGAGGCAGCAACAACACAAATATTTTCTTTTCAAAATCTAAGAACTAAAGAAATGAGAGGCTTTTCTGTACTTTAGTGTAATAGGTTTAGGACTCTCAAGATTGTATTTCATGTTACCAAGCTTCCTTTTTATTCTTATACCCTTCTCCAGGGAGAAATAATATGACACAGTATATATATCTAGGTAGAGAGAGATTTCATGTCCTTCAATTAAGACAGCTCTGCTCATCAGGTGAGCAAACTAATTCAGAATATTAATCAGTATTTGTCTTTAATATTGTTGTCCTCCACTAAAGGACACAACATACTGAAATGCAGATACCCTGATTTCTTACATCTTTTAAGCAATTAAATCCCTAAGCACATTCAAACAATTTACCTCAAGTATGCTGAAAAGATATCAAATGTTAAACTGCAGCCTTTCATCTTGCAAAACCATTTAAAAACCTTAGACTTAGGCTGAATTCACCCATATCTAAAAACATTTTTAAAAAATACAATCTAGAAGTCTTTTCACAACTCCCATTTGGTCAGACTCAGTAAATAAAAAAAACCCCGAAACTAAATCCTCTGCAAAACTGCAGGCATCTGAAAACTATTCCTGGGCTCCTTCTGTATTTATAGCATTAAATAAATTATCTCTTTTTAGGGGCAAGGATAAGAACAAAAGCCATAATACTTTAAAAACATTATCTGTTGCTCATAGTAAAATGAATTTCATTTTAGTTCAGTGAAAATGAAATTACCAAAGCCACCTGCACATAAACAAGTATGAGCCTTTATTTTGATCTAATACATTTTGTAGTCATTGAGGAACAAGAATAAAAACCTGCCTCATTTCTTTTTACCTTTATACTAAATGTAATACAAATATAGATACAGATACAAACAGGAGAGTGTTTCAGTCACATTATGGGCAACACCTCCTCCTCTTCCTAACCTGAAGAACAGTATATCTGCTTATATTCTGCAAAATTAAGTTCAAGATTTTGATTAAAGCGGGTTGACTAAACGTAAGTTACACAGATGAGCAATGGTCCATTTCTAGAAATATATTCTGAGAATGAAGAATGCATTTTTCCTCTGAATTAATAGAAGATTTCTTACTGCAAGTCCCTGATTTTTCAACAGTAATAAATAAATACTGATTTTCAGTTTCATTTAGTAATTTAAGAATAAGGCCATAGACTGAAATCAGTGATAACTGGCAGGATGCAAAATTAGGAATTGCAGAAACAATACTGCGAACTGTCCTAGAAAGAAACTGGATGAGATTAATCACTTATTTTACTCCCAAAGAGATCTTCTAAGTTGACCTCCACAACAAACTTTATTTACTCTCCATTTCAACTTATACAAGGCCTTCTCAAAAGGCTGTGAAACAACAGATGCCAGTGTCACCTAGTTTATGTCACTTTCTTAGTGCAGATGGCTATACATAAGAGAGCACCCGGGAGAGATAAGAACATGGATGAAAGCCAGCCGGCTCAAACTTAACACAAGCAGAATAAAGATTACTGTGGTGTGAAGTGGGAAATTTTAAGGGGAGCAAGTGCAGGACATGATTTTTCTTCATAAAATGATTTACAAATGACCAGAGTGACTTTTTATACATTTTACACATACTTCAAATCAATGTTAAGTATAGGTGCTGTTAAACTCCATTTACACTGTAGTTACAGACATCAGTCTGAAGCATTAGCTGTGAATAAATAAATGCTCTTTTCAAATTAAAAATAAAATGCTCTTTTTTATTAAAAATAAATGCTCTTTTCAAATTAAAGGTCTGTAGAGATTACCAGATTTAATTCCATTTACACTTGGGACTGAATTCATGCCAGCTTACTGTAGATTAAGGTGACAGTTCGTTCAGAAACTTCAGTGCCTCAAGTTCCTTAAACAGTCAATGAAAAGAATGGTCCTCTCTCCCCTCTATGTCTCCTTTAGCTGACTAGACAAGAACACTGATGTTCTGAGTTCTAAAATTTGGTGGAATAAACAAGGACTAATAACTGGACTAATAGTTTAGGAGCTCATTAGTTTAAAAGTCTGGAAAAAAAGGCTGGATATACTGCTTTACTGGAAGATTACTATGAATATATTATTAACATGAATGTTGCTATAAATATTGGTATAAACATGAATTCTCTAACACTTGCTTTCGAACAAAATAAAACATAATTAACTCAAGCTGAGAGAGGTAAAGAGAAGACCCAGATACCTGGGAAATATAGGTTTTACCTTAGGAGAAAAATAAAAACCCCTGCTGTATTTAGCCTACATTAATTAAAAGTGATGGCTATGATTTAGTTAATAAACACAATCACATGTAAGAAGATTAAAATTAAAGAGGAAAAAGCCCTACGAAAATTAAGGGACAACAGACTGGTATAAAGGGACAATGAGTAAATTTAGCCTGGATATTAGAAAGAGTCCATCCAAGTCCTCAGGTTATTCAATAGCTTCTGCAGAGGAACAGCAGGGACAAAACACTAATTACTTTTAATATGGAGCGCACATTGCTTATGAAGCAAAGAAAAAGATTGTTTTACCCTGGAGATCCGTTTCAGTTCCTTGGTCTTTTCTCATTATGATCCTGCTTATGAAGCATGGGACTTGAGACCAGAGTCAGTGGGGAGCTGCTGTCTGTCCTTTAATGCCACCACCAGCAGAGCAATCACCCTCACTGTATGGGGCACAGAAAAGCCTAAATGATCTAGTTTTCTGACCCTCTTATATTATCAATACAAAATAATGTCTTAATTATCTGAAAGCAGAGCATGAAACAAGAATCTTATTAGAATTAAAAGAACTATGGAAATTAATTTGACAGCTCAGTGATATTGCTAGTCCTCCTTAATGATTGTGTAATACTACAGAAGACTAACATAGTGATTGCCTTAAACCTTTCCTGGTTTGATCCAACAATTAGAACAATCTTCTGTGATACAGTTTTTGTGAAGATAAGCTCTCAACATACCTAAAAAGCACACTAAGGACCTTAAGATTAAAAGCTTAAAGGGATGCAACTCTTATTAAAATTTGTTATATCACTAGACCAAGCCTAAATGACAAAGGTTTCCTGAATTCTGTAACTGTGAAATACTGTCTCTATTAGTGTTAAAAAATGTTTCTTACAGTAAGAACTAAAGAGGACTTGATCTTTCAACTCTTTCAAAAGGTAACTTTGCTTTCACCTGGAAATGACAACTTTCAAATACCATACAGAAGAGAATCAAATGCATTTAATCTGAAAACTTTCTGGTGGTTTTTTTTGTTATTGTTGTTGGTGGGTTTTGTTTGTTTGTTTCTTTTTGTTTTTAAAGTAATTAAAAGGAAGTGAAGAAACAAGAGTGCAGAAAACAATAATCAGAACATAAATAAATAAAATAGCAGTCTGTTTATGGACCAGAAACAGAGGCTGTCTTATACCTCTGCAAGGTCCGAAAAGAGTGCTTGGCTTGTGCTACGTCTCAAAGTATCCCAATAGCTTCTGGGGACAAGGTCGTCTCCTTCTGTTTTAAGAACCTGCAGAAGTTTCAAGAAGCATAATTGTTTGAAAACCAAAGAACAATAAAACAACCCCTTACACACTTTAAAATCCTTTCCAACATATCTTCAAAAGCATGGCTTGGTTCTTTTGCTTTCACACAGAAAAATTTCTACCCAGTTACATGACACTTTGTAAATAAAAGGATCAATGGTCTATTACGGCTATTTGCTTATTACTCATAACTTGGCTGTGCCAAAGGTATCACAGAATCACAGAATGTTAGGGGTTGGAAGGGACTTCTAGAGATCATCTAGTCCAATCCCCTGCCAGAGCAGGACCACCTAGCGCAGGCCACACAGGAACGCATCCAGGTAGGTTTTGAAAGTCTCCAGAGACGGAGACTCCACAACCTCTCTGGGCAGCCTGTTCCAGTGCTCTGTCATCCTCACAGTAAAGAATTTTCTCCTCATGTTGAGGTGGAACTTCCTATGTTCTAGCTTATACCCATTGCTCCTTGTCCTATTACTGGGCACCACTGAAAAGAGACTGGCTCCTTCCCCTTGACACCCACCCTTCATTCATAAGATCCCCTTTCAGCCATTTCTTCTCAAGACTAAACAGCCGCAGGTCTCTCAGCCTTTCTTCATAGGAGAGATGTTCAAGTACCTTAATTATCCTCATATCACCAGACTCCACTTTCCCAAACAAAATCAATTAGAGAAAGTGTAAGGTGAAAATATTTCTTAGAAGTACAAAATGTCCACCTAAATTTAGTCTTTTGCTGTTGATTTTTCTAAAAATTGTTTTTTAAAAAATATATTAATTTATGTACTTATGAAATTTGTTGTCTCACTGGTCAAAATACAAATATAATTATACAAATTGTTACAGAAAATTAATTTAATCCACTAAGGATGACATCCTGTACCAATAAATAAATGCAAAAAACAAGCCTAATAAGTCCAACCTCAACTGTAACATACTTATCAAGAAAATACTATGCGTATCTGATGATCAAACTTACCTTGTTTAAAAAGAAAAGAAGTGTCTAATTTCTCCAATGAAATTATACTTACATATTTTTCTGAAATGTTTCATTTTTGGAATCCTGAAAAATTCTCCCTTATTAAAAGAGGCCTTCCTTTATCTTGCAACTAGTCTTGGAAAATCTATTAAATATATCTATCTATCTATCTATCTATTTATTTATTTTCCCCACAAAGAATCTAGGGGAGATGATTCCAAAGACAGCAGAAAGCTATTTGAATTTGGTTAGGGTTATTGCAACTGAATGAATTTTCCCCTTTCTCCCCACAAGTTAATCTAAATTACGTCTCCTACTTTCACAGCTCCCTGCTCACATTCATCTGGGCAGGCAAGACAATGACAGAATGAGTTTAATCCCCTTTAATTCATAGAATCATAGAATCATAGAATCTTAGGGGCTGGAAGGGACCTCAAGAGATCATCTAGTCCAACCCCCCTGCCAGAGCAGGGTCACCTAGAGTACATCACACAGGAACTCATCCAGGTGGGTTTTGAATGTCTCCAGTGAGGGAGACTCCACAACCTCCCTGGGCAGCCTGTTCCAGTGCTCTGTCACTCTTACAGTAAAAAAATTTTTTCGGATATTCACCTTGAACCTCCTATGCTCCAATTTACACCCATTACCCCTTGTCCTATCACTGGTCATCACCGAGAAAAGCCTAACTCCGTCCCCCTGACACTCACCCCTTACATATTTGTAAACATTGATGAGGTCACCCCTCAGTCTCCTTTTCTCCAAGCTAAAGAGACCCAGCTCCCTCAGCCTTTCCTCATAAGGGAGATGTTCCACTCCCCTAATCATCTTCGTAGCTCTGCGCTGGACTCTTTCGAGCAGTTCCCTGTCCTTTTTGAACTGAGGGGCCCAGAACTGGACACAATACTCCAGATGTGGCCTCACCAATGCAGAATAGAGGGGGAGGAGAACCTCTCTTGACCTACTAATCACACCCTTTCTAATGCACCCCAGGATGCCATTGGCCTTCTTGGCCACAAGGGCACATTGCTGGCTCATGGTCATCCTCCTGTCTACCAGGACCCCCAGGTCTCTTTCACCTACACTACTCTCCAGCAGTTCAGCCCCCAACCTGTACTGGGACATGGTGTTGTTCTTCCCCAAATGTAAAACTCTGCACTTCCCCTTGTTGAATTTCATCATGTTTCTCCCCGCCCAACTCACCAACCTATCTAAGTCTCTCTGAATGGCAGCACAGCCTTCTGGTGTGTCAGCCACTCCTCCCAGCTTAGTGTCATCAGCAAACTTGCTGAGGGTACATTCTATACCCTCATCCAGGTCGTTGATGAAGATGTTGAACAACACCGGTCCCAGTACCGACCCCTGTGGGACTCCACTAGTCACACACCTCCAACCAGATTCTGCCCCATTGACTACAACTCTCTGACTCCTTCCTTTCAACCAGTTCCTAATCCACCTCACTTCCTGATCACCAAACCCATACCTGATCAACTTTTCTACAAGGATGCTGTGGGAGACGGTGTCAAATGCTTTACTGAAATCAAGATAAACCACATCTACCGCTCTACCATCATCTATCCACCTAGTAATTTCCTCATAGAAGGCTATGAGGTTAGTCAAACATGATTTACCCTTGATAAAACCATGCTGACTGCTCTTGATGACCCCCATGTCCTTGATGTGCCTGGAGATAGTGACAAGAACAAGTTGTTCCATCACCTTTCCAGGGATGGAGGTGAGGCTGACCGGTCTATAGTTACCCGGGTCCTCCTTCTTGCCCTTCTTGTAGACTGGAGTGACATTTGCTATCCTCCAGTCCTCAGGCACCTCACCTGTTGCCCATGACTTACTGAAGATGATGGAGAGTGGCCTAGCAATGACCTCCGCCAGCTCCCTCAGCACCCTTGGGTGCATTCCATCTGGACCCATTGATTTATGGATGTCCAGATTACTCAACTGATCCCTAACCCAATCCTCATCTACCATGTCAAACTCTTCCTCTATCTTGACTTCTTCTGGGGCTATATGAATCTGGGGCTCATAGGGAGACCCTGCAGGAGTGAAGACAGAGGCAAAGAAGGCATTCAGCACCTCTGCCTTCTTTATATCCTCTGTCACCAGGGCTCCCACCTCATTCCTCAATGGGCCAATATTGCCTCTACTGCTAGTTTTGCTAGCTATGTATTTGAAAAAGCCCTTTCTATTATCCTTAACCTGACTTGCAAGGTTAAGTTCCAAGGAGGCCTTAGCTTTCCTAATTGCCTCCCTACATCCTCTGACAACAGTCCTATATTCCTCCCACGTGACCAGCCCCTCCTTCCATGATCTGTAGATTTTCCTTTTCCACTTAAGTTTGCCCAGTAGTTCCTTCTTTAACCATGCAGGTCTCCTAGCACCCTTACTAGATTTCCTAACCATTGGGACACTCTGATCCTGTGCTTGCAAGAAGTGGTCCTTGAATGTTGACCAGCTATCTTGAGCTCCTTTATTTTCTAGCACCCTGTCCCATGGGATTTCCCTTAATAGATGATTGAGGAGACCAAAGTTTGCCCTGTGGAAGTCCAGGGTTCTGGTCCTGCTGGGTATTTTGTTCCTTCCACACAGGATATGTACTCATATAAAATCTGTTTTGTTGTGATTACATCAGCTCAGTTAAGATTTTATTAGCATTTAAATTCTATCACCATGCCTTACAAATTAGGTAGTTAATATTGTACAAACAAGGCAAACAAATAATTATCTTACTGTATTGCTTAATAATCTACCTGGTCTTCTGACATTTTTCAAAAAGAATTTTCAGCTTCAGTACAATACATTTTTTTTCTACTATGTTCTTGTTTGTTACACAGTTGTCAGGCTTTTCACTCTCAGTCTATCCTTCTTTCTCTCTTTCTTTACCTTTCTTCTTTTAGATTCTGTAGTATTGCTACATTAAAAGAGAAAGCAAGGAGACTTGCTATTAAGGGGAAGAAATTCAAAGTAGAGTGAAAAGTCATAGCAGTACTGTGAATAATTAGAATGCAATGATTCTTTGAAATATAAATATGTGTAATTTTGTAGGAGTGTAAAATGGTTTGGTTTTTTTGTCCCTTGTTTTTTCTTTCTGGGTTTCAGTGTTTAGGAGTAAGGTAGGACAGGTAACAGCTTCTGTTGTTCAAATTTAAAAAAATGGAAGAGAATATTTCAGATTATCCCATATTTTGTTTTATTTTTATTTTTCTATTATAACCACTTATTTATTTGTTTATTTGTTTTATCTAAATGTTGCATTTTAAAATGCTTTTAAATTCCCTCTTTCAGAGGTTTACCTTTTCTGAATTCACAGCTCAGCAAATCTGCAGGAATTCAAAACTGTTTCTCTACCACCACATTTGTTTTTATTATGTATGTCTTCAAAAAGAGGTTATTCTAAACATTACAGATTTACCTATGGATAAGAAATCATGAGTTATAATATTATCTTTTCCAATCCTTTCAGTTCTCAGTTTTCTCAGTCTAGCCTTCTCTTTGACTCAAAGATTCTTCCAAGTTTAGTCCACATTGAAACTTGTTCTGGTTCTTCTACTCCAGAACACTTTACCTATCTCTATTTTTTCCTGTATTTTCTTTATTTTAGAAATTCTCTATTCAGTCAAATCATATATTTGCTCTTCTTACAGCACTGCTTTTCTTTAGGTTCCACTGTAAAATCATTAAAATAAGAAGCTTTTAAAGGCCTTTCAATAGCCCTTGGAAAAGGTCCTATGTATATATTTTGGGGGAAAACCTCCCAAAATCTGCATGGAGTGTTTAGACCCTATGTAAAAAAAAAAAAGGAAAAAAAAAAAATAAGTCTTGAAGGCTGCTTTCTCTATTCTCTGTTCTAGAGAAGTAAAAGCATGGTCCTTTCTTTGGAAAAGAGAGGAGAAATTGATGAGAATTAAAAGGCCTGTTCTTAGCAAAATCTTAGCAGGTCTTCAAAAACAGCTCAAAGGGGAGTTTTTTTACTGATTTATGTAAATAGAAAGGCAAAGTTGTCAGAAGCCCAATACAAAATATGGAGTAAAGTTCTTAATCCCCACTCCTAGACATATTATTATTATTAAATCAGAGTAGTTAGGTTGGAAGGGATCTTAAATATCATATAGTTCCAACCTCCCTGCATGGGCAGGGACACCTCCCAGTAGACCAGGTTGATCAAAGTCCTGTCCAGCCTGGCCTTGAACACTTCAGGGATGGGGCATTCACAACTTTTCTGGGCAACTTGTTTCAGTGCCTCATGCCCCTCATGGTGAAGAATTTCTTCCTAATATATAATCTAAATCTACAGTCTTTAAGTTTGACTTCTGCGCTGCCGCGTGCTCAGATGAGGCTGCCAAATGGCCGCTTTTTAAACCTTGCCGCCGTTCACAGCCACACCCCCTGCCACGTCAGCCTTCCTCTCCCTCGCAGGCTTCCCGCTCAGACTCGGGTCTCCTGGCTCTGCCTCGGCTTCACCGTCTCTGGGAAGCCCGGCTCCCTCTCAAATCCTCAGTAAATTTAAAGGAACAGCTCTCACCGCTGCCGGTGCTGCTGCCGCTCTCTCTTCTGCGCTGCCGCGTGCTCCAATTAAAGAGTTTAATTGGAAAAAAAAAGAGTTTAATCAGAGTTTAATTCTCTTTCCCCAGGGAAGTGGTCACAGCACCAATCCTTCCTGGGTTCAAGAAGCGTTTGGATGATGCTCTCAGGCCCATGGTGTGATTCTTGGGGTGCCCTACACAGGGACAGGAGTTGGACTTGATGATCCTGATGGGTCCCTTCCAACTCAGCATATTCTATAATTCTAATCTTTTAATTATAAATGAAAACTTTTTTTTTTAATTAGTCACATACTCTTCTCTTAGAAGATTTACATTGCTGTGCATTGTGCAAAACCACATTGTTATCATGAAGAATACTTATTCACTACATATTCTACATAATGTCAACACAGGATATACTGCTTCTACAAGTTCTACTACATGCTTCCTCCACTAATTCAACCTAGCTTTCTGTAAACTGTCATCAAAGAAAAACTACAAACTACCAGGAATTATACCCATTCTTAAGGTTTATTACACTTTTGTTTCCTTTTTGAAAAATTCTGGTTTTATCTTTCTCTTATTATGGAATAAGAGTAACTATGCTGAGGCCACAGTATTGTCATATCTAACTCCATTCAGGCTTAAATTGCTAATCTCACACAAATTTCACAAAGTTTACTTCACTGTGTACAGGATTAGGTCCTTAGCAGCTTCTCTCTGACACTTATTATCCCCTTGATGTTTACTGGGTCATGTGAATTAACATCACCTCATTTTTTTATGCATACAATTCTGTAATTGTATATTTTAAGTATTCATTTAATTTGTTCTCTTACTGGAGATTTACTTTAGCCTTTTAGTATTTGCTAATACTTGTGTTAGTATTCCTGGGCATACACACTTCATTTTCCTTCCATGCATCTCATTGTAATTATCATGTTCCAGTTGGCATGTGGCTAGTGAAAACACTCATGCAATACATGCTGAATTAGCCTTAACACACAACTGCAGTATGCACCAGAACATGATCCAAAAGAATTAACCTATGCAAATTAAATTTAAAAAAACCCTGTTAACCCCTTTAAAATGTCAGCTTATAGACCTTGACACTTCTCAGGTTGGAACTGAAAGCTGAAGTGAGGAGAAGGGCTCACACTCTGGACCATCCCAGACACTTTAGGATTCCACCTCCTTGGTCTTGAGCATCTTCAACACCCGAGGACATCAAGGGAAACTGAAAAGGCTGCTATGCTTCTTGTTTTAGTAGGAAAAACAGAAACCCAAAATATCAGCTTTCTGGGGTGGGAGATTTGTCAGATACTGTGAATTCCTATTTGAGTCTCCTTTACATGGAGGTCTCCATTCAAGTTTGTGGGGCAGAAAAGGATACTGCACACCCGGGCATCAACTTGATAAAGAGTTTGGACATGGCTGGAGTAGAAAAGTCTAAATAGCTTGGTTTCAGTTTAAAATAGGAGGCCGCACAGGAATATGGCAAAAACTGTGCAGCATCTTTCACTGCAGTAAAGCCTAATCTAAAACCTATTGAATCCTAAGGCCTCAAATTTCCTACTGCCTTATTTGCACTACACTGCAGCTTCTACATCATGACACTGCACCTTTTCATTCAACAGACTTCCTTCCTGCATATATCCCAAATTGTATATGCTTTCATAGGAAATAAATCTTTGAATTGCTGTGATTGACTATATAAACAGACTTTAAAACTGGAATTTCACTAGTCATCTAATTTTCATCAGTTCCTTCCCCTCACTTTGCATATCACAATAATCATACCAAAACAAATATTAATTCTTCTATTTTAAAATTAAATAAGGTGTGTTTTTTTTTAATAACAGCTTTACTTCTGCTGTGATCAGGTCACAATGAAGACTCTCTTGTGGATTCTCTCTCTCACTCCTCAAAAACGATTGAAAATAAGTTTACTGTCACCTACATAATACAGGGACTATTTTCTGTAAAATCCTATTCTAGTTCAGCACTGAAAGTTCTTATTTATTTGTTCTGTAACTGAAACACAAAAATAGAAAAGCTCTCTTCTGGTACCTCTTTTTTTTGGGGGGGAGGAACAAAGATTAATTTGACTAATTATTACTTCACATTATATATATATATACACTTATGTGTGTGTGTGAATATATATGTATATACCGTACATATATATACATATATACAGTATATATATACAAGGAGGCAAGACAGACCCAGACCAAATGAATCATGCAGGATGACTTAATTTATACACATTAATTAAAAACAAGTATGTAATTTCTGATATTTTTTTTTGTCCTTTCCTTTACAAATATGTTTCCTTCATTTTACATGAACTGGGAGAGCAACCTTTCCTCCTGGTAAACATGCCTATTTCAGAACACGTGCAATAAAAGCATGCACAATTGTCCATCACTTTTTTACTGATTAGCAGAAGAAATGTACTTTATGAAAAAAATACATATAGGAAATTTCTTATAGCATATTACTTCATCTCACTGGTGAAGACTGCATAAATTGAAAATAATTAGAGTACATACACTGTTAGTAGAAGTATGATATCCATAAAGTTGAAGACGCTGACATACAGCAAAAATGGACCAAGCCAAGTATCACATGTCAGATTGAAGCCAAAAGAAGAAAAAATAAAAAAGACAACAGAATAGGTTAAGACAAGGAAACATTTATTTTATGTATTATTAGATCAGTTTGTTTGTTTGTTTGCTTTTAAAATGACTGTGAAGGAAAAAAGGTTTATTTTCAATCTCATTCTTCAAGCTTTCAAAAGAGAAGTACAGAGTTACAGAGTCACTCTCAGGAGAAATGTTCTATTTTGCAATCTTTCCTTCTTCCAAAAGTTCCTCCTTTGTATGTAAGTTTCCTTTGCTCAGAATAAACTTTGTGTGAGAGATTCAACAACTGACCTACACTTTTGAAAAGTTAAGGATAGGTCTCTCTGGGTGAGGAGAGCCCTTTTTATGCTCAAGGAAGGTTTAAAAACTATTAATTCTAGAAATTCAAACTTCCTGTTTCAGGGACAAAGATCTGAGATCAAGCATCTATGGTCCCAAAAGGATAATGGGCACTATGAGAAGCTTTGAATAGATCTTAAAATGTTTCTTAGGATAAGGATTTTTTGTCAAATATGCAAAATGAAAATGAATGTGTTTTTTCTGCTGTGGGCTTGACAGAAGCTTGTCCCTGATTTTTCTTCTCCAACAGTACTACTACTACTGCTGCCATCCTCCAGACAAACTGCTACAGGCTTGTCTATTTCTGACTTACCTTTCTTATGCACATAATAAATGCAAATTTGACAGTATTTAAGAATGAATATTCACTACTCCACAAAAATCTATGCAGATAATATACACAGCTAAAACCATTCTGCATTTTTCATAAGCAGTATTTAATACAATAATTACATTTAGACATAAAATCTAAGCTCATTTTTAACATTTCATCAGCTATTTTTAAAACCAATATGTTAATAACAAGTATCAGTTAGTTATAGGGCAGGAGTAGAGTTCATTTTTGCCACTGAGATCTCTCACTCTAATAGACAGTAACACTGGGTCATTACTATGTGCTTTTCCTTAGACTTCTTTATAGACTCCAAATGGAATCAATGCTACTGTCATAATATGTAATACAGTAATTAAACAGCAGTTTTTCCATTCTATAGATTGTTAATTATTTTTTTTAATTACTGCAATTTAGGCTAAAAATTGTTTTTTTCTATATATAGTTATGCATATCCTTTTAAGAATATTTATTTCAAAAATTGAAAATGATTTGTGAAATAAGATACACACACAATTTAGTCCTGTATTGAAGAAAACAAATGAATTACCAGCTACAACTATTCTAATTTTACTTACCAGCATTGCACGCTTTTCTTCATCTCCTTTTCTTTCTCTCTTCTCATTTTTTTTCCTGAAAATCTCTTGTAGCTAAAAAAAACGCCAAGATTTTGGTCTGATTTAGTTTTCAGGCCATTTCACATGCATAACCATAATTCATTGTGAGGAACACTGCAAATTATTAAAATGTAGCTTTCCACTAAAATATCAATGTTTCAATGATTGTTGTTGATATTCCTAGCTTCATGTTCCTTCCGTGACTTTGGTTAAGAACTATCAGCCATTCAGATTGAGTTAAGTTTTAAATAGAATTGCTCATAGTCAATCATTTAGCATCATGATGGAGGGGTTACAGCATAATGTTGTGCAATTTGGTATACTGTTAATTTAGCATTATTTACTTAGCTTTAGTAGCTAGATTTGCTGAAACCTTAGGCTGCAAGGCGTGGACATTCACCTAGACATGCTTTTGGCTAGGATGGAGTTAATTTTCTTCTTAGTACCTGGTGTGTGTTTTGGATTTAGTATGGGACTGATGTTGATAATACACTGATGCTTTGGTTGTTGCTAAGCAGTGCTTATCCTAAGACTTTTCAGTTTCCCATGCTCTGCCAGCTCGCAGGTACACAAGAAGGGCAAACCACAAGATAAGGAGGCTACAGCAGCCAGCAGAAGCTGCAATTCAATCAGGTAAGAACAGTTAATGGTCCACGGGGAGACAGAGAAAGAATCCAATGATGTGATAGACCCCAGACCAGAAACCACACTGGTGTAAAAAGGCTCATGAGGAATGTGTAAAGTGTGTGAGGGACAGGCACATAAGTCGTAAGGGAAACTGCCCAGGAATTTCTTTGGTCAGGGTCCCCCTCTGAACACATCTTTTTTTCTGCTGTATTCTGCTTCACCATCTGAATGATTTTTTTTTATAAGATTAGATACCTGAGACTCTGCTTTGGGAAACACAGGGCCAAACCTGAGGCAAAGAGCTTCTCCCTTAACAATCTTAACTATCACACAAAAAGGAAAATGGAAATATTTTTTCCACAAAGTAAGGCTAATGATTCAATTTGGGAACACAACGGTAAGAACATCCCATTTAGTTTTATATCTTAGCCAACCCAGCCTATATAGAAAGGGGGAGCTCCAGCCTCTTTCACCACCTCCAGGCACACCTCGTCTTGTTGGCTACTAATTAGAATCTGAGTGGCTATGCAGTCAGCTGGATCAATCTTTTTTCATATTGTAAGTTTCGAAGCAGACCAATTTTTACTCCTGCTGGCACAAAGGAGTGGTGGAAACACCTGGTGGGGGTGAAATATTCCCCTTCAGCAGCAACAAACTACTCCTCAAGAATAATTTATCAAGTACTCTTTTTTTTTTTTTTTTTTAATCTGTCCAAAGAATACCTTAGGGTCTTGTAAAATACCCCTTTCACAAGTTTCTCTACATTAAGGGCTTTAAACATGACTTCTGAGAAAACCTCAAATTAAAACATATGTATTATTGAGTGTATTTATTTTTTGAAACTATAAAGTCTTCAGAGGAAGAACTAGTCTGTACTTACCCTTCTTTGTAAGTATCCGTTTTATTTCGATATTTTAATTTATTTATATTAATAACTATTTATATTCCCAAGCCATTAGAAAAGTTTCTGTGTCTACTCTTCATAACAAGAGACAGGAGTGTTAACTATGATGCCATCTACATATCTACCAGTGAACTTCAGCTTTTCAAAAACTGCACGTGGAAATATTGCACTGTCACTTGCACTGTTCACAAATCGCAAAGCAGACTGGAAAAATAATAAACACAGTGGATGACAAATTTGTCCAGTCTAGCATGTAGTATTTTCAGAACCAAACACCGTGGCACACAGACACAATTGTGGCAGCCCTTTCAAATACCAGAAGTCTGATAAAAACCTGATACTGTAATGAAATGCATTCAGAGCTCCCCAGGGACTGGAATGTGAAAGATAAAGTGTGTCTGACAAATTTTGCAAGCAAATTTTCCAAATTTAATTTCAGAACACTGTATTTCAGAGAAGACAAATGATTAAGAGAAAGGGATCAGCAAGCTCTGCTGCAGGCGTATGTCAGGATTGAAATAAATTAATGCACAGTTTAGTGATTAGATAGCAACTGCTTTTATAATTAACATTTTATGAATTCCCAAAATTGACTACTGTGTTCTGGAATTGTCTGTAAGACAAATACAGACCAGAATATTGTGTGTGTCACTGTGTCTGTTTTTGAGTATGGAATCACTTTACAGATCTTGGTATCTTTTTTAAAATTTTTTGCAAACTTACAGGCACAAATTACTGTAATGTACACTGAGAAACAAAGAGTCATGATAGGACATTTAGCTGAATGACCTACAATATTACACAGTTTGCAACCCAAATCTGTGGAAAGCAGAAAGGTAAATGGAGAGAATTAGAAAGAAAATACCTTGCAAAAAGTGAAGTGACAAGCCATCAAGTAGGAGAGAAGAGTGGCAGTAATTGAAAAACCAGAAATGATCAGTAAAAAGCAATGCATCTTTAGATGTATTTCCCCTGCCACAGAAGCAGAGTAGTATTCTGTTGCATACATCATTAAAGCATTTGATAAACTTCTGGAAATGGATCTTTTGTTCAGAAGGAGCGCTATAGGATACCAGTGAGTAGAAAAGTGAATTCAAAAGGATCTAGGAGTACTTTCATAAGAACACTGTTTGAAGCAGGATAATGAGATTGACTGCTGAAAGGAGCAAAACCAAGATCTCCCATAACAAGGCAACACAATCCTTCTGTTCCCTGACCTCACCCCTATGACATAAGCAAAGAGGAAGGCACAAACACCATGGGGTTAGTTTACAAAAACACTGAAGCTGTTATTAGAAAAAATAAGTATTTTTCAACTCCTCACTACACGTACCCTTCAAGAATCACATAACATGGGATCCCTACGCCAATCTCTTCAAAGTCTTTTCATCTGAAAAACTGAATATTATTAACTACACTTCAAATTTTATGATAGGTGGCTGTAATTAATAAAGAAGTATTCTGCAAATGTTGCAAAATGACAACACTCAGTCTCCTGTTTCCAGGCAGACAGGAGATGAGATGATGTATAACCAAGCAAGGTGAGTATAGGTATCAAATGGGAAGGCTTGGGGCCAGGTCTATCACAGCTACAGTATGACTGAATCAACTTCTATTTTCATATTTACTTTAATTTACACAGACATTACCTGTCTGTCTATCTATCTACCTACCTATCTATACCTACCCTGGTCTTTTTCACTTCAGATCTAAAACTCTGACTTATATGTTTTGATCTAATTTTTAGAGGATTACTAACATGATCAAGAAGAGTTAGGGTCAGATTTTTCTATACAAATGTGATAAATAAAGTAACAGGTAGAGAATGGTCTATCTAATGTTTTAAAATTCTTCTTTTTGTGTGTTTCTATTCAACAAGTCTGGTAACAGAAAACAAGTAAAAAGTAGAAATTTTTATCAGTGACCATGACAGAGAACAAATGAAAAGCAGGATGTGAAGAGGACTATAAAAGCATAGTTTAAAAAAAGATGCAATATCCATAGTGAAATGCTGTCCTTGCTTCCCATTTTATACACTTTTTGATTTAATTTTCAGCATCACTTTCCAAATGACAAAGCCTCCTGCTTCAACTTCCTTTCACTTAGCAGTTGTCACAGAAGCCTCTTTTTTTTTTTTTTAATTAAAAAAAGTTATCACTCTATCCTATCACATTCTATTTCAATTGAATCATGGTAAGATTTTTTTTTCTTCCTGTTTTCCCCTTGGCCAAGTAATGGAATGCTTGCTGGCTTTTTTCCCCAACCGTAGGAGATGGATATTAGGAATCAGCAAATATGACTGCAAGGATGTGTACATTTAGTATTAGAATGCAAAAAATTATTAGCATGCCACAATGTGCAAGTGATGACAGTTTCCAAAATAAATGAAACCTGTTCTGCTTAGCTATGCCACCAGAAAACAAGCCCTCAGATCTCACTTTCTTGGAAAGGAAATTCAGTGTGCTGAGGACAGTTTATTTCACTTTTCTGTTTTCTTTAGGTTAGCATAACTTATTTGACGTGAAAACAATTAAGAAACAGCATGCAGGAAATGAGGGTGTCTTCATTTTAAATAACTGGTGGTGTGACACATCCATTCCATGTGTCTGTTTAATTTTTTATATCTTGTTCCATCATTTTCTTTTTCAGTAAGGCATTTGGCTTTTTCTTATATATATTTATGGTGTTTACGTATAAACTCAACTACAATAAAAATGTATGAAGATAATTGATGTCTTCTGCAAATATCTTTTTGTACAAACATGATTCAATCATTATTGATTTATTTTTTTTATTAATTGCCTGTACATGCTCAGTAAAAAATAAAGGCCTTGTGCAGTCTTCAGAAACCTTGTCTAAACCACTAACCACAAAATCATAGAATCACAGAGCCATTCAGGTTGGAAAAGACCCTTGGGATCACCGAGTCCAACCACCATCCCTCCTCTAGAAAGTTCACCCCTAAACCATATCCATCAACACCACATCCAAATGACCCTGAAACACATCCAGAGATGGTGACTCAACTACCTCCCTGGGCAACCTATTCCAGAGTCTGATCACTCTTTCTGTGAAAAAAAATTTCCTAATGTCCAGACTAAACCTCCCCTGTTGCAGCTTGAAGCTATTCCCTCTTTCTCTATTGCCAATTACCTGTGAGAAGAGACCAGCACCAACAACGGTACAATGACCTTTCAGGTAGTTGTAGAGACTGATGAGGTCTCCCCTCAGCCTCGTCTTTCTCAAACTAAACATTCCCAGCTCCTTCAAGCATTCTTCGTAAGATTTATTCACTCATATTAATATTAAACCAATTAAATATTAAACATTAAATATTCAAAGTTACTTTATACAGAAATGTCAAAAACTATGTTTGTCATAGCTGACAGCTGTTTCAGTGTAATCCCAGACATATACTACGTATGGACACTATCAATTTAGAAAATTCTGATTTATAATGTACTGTGCAGTTTTTTAATGTGAAGCCATGTAGTCATTGTAAAATCAGAAGCCCTGATGCTGAGTGGTCAGTCTTCTGCATTTCATGCTTTTTTCAAAAAGTCTCAATTTTTTTTTCAGCACTGACATTCATTTAGAATAGCATTAATTATTTCCCCCATTCCTTTTGAAATCTGAAAATAAATTAAAATAACATAAATCAGACACACCCCTCCTGTTTCAAGACTTTTGAATATTATACTTGCCAGTGCAAACACCATTCTCCTGTACTTAGTGGATCCTATCACCTGAAAACTTATGAAGCATTAGAATGTTAAGATGCAATTATCAGACTTACTATGATAAAAATAACAATACAGTGGATGATTTAAGATTTTTTGAAGATTTTTCACTCAAGTGCCAAAATATTAATGCATAAATCTCAATGATACGTGAAATAAGCTAATTTTCTTTCAAAGTCTGTGTCTTTTAGAACTGTTTAAGTTTCTAGCCAAAAGAAAAATAAACTCTCTGCTTAATTAGTAAGAAGAACTTACAGATCTGCTTTTACCAAGGAATAAAACAAAGTTCTAGTTTGAAAAATGCTGTAATTCAAATTTGTAATGCAACAAAACCTTGGATGCAACAAAACTACTGTCAAGTTCCAGATGTCCTGCCAACTGTTCCAAAGCATGTGAAAATTATTCAGCTCAAAGTCAATTTTGCTATAAGGAATATTCTCCTCAAAAAGAATCACTGAACCCCTGCTTAGGAAATTGCTTCAGCATATGGCTTTCACAGGCTGAAGTAGATATATGTGCAGTATATTTTATTTAATTAAAAATCTTGTCCAAAAGAGATGACAGAGTCACCTTACATCTATGTTTTCAGGTCACCTGGGATTATAAGCAGAATGAATGAAAAAGTGAACTGTTAGCCCAGGAACAGACTCTATTGCCAGATCAGCAAGAACTTTAACAGCCTAATTATCTGTGAACACAGTATAAATTAAAAAGAACCAGAATAAAAACTAGAACTGAACTTCAAAAATCATCATAAACAACACACCTGTGCACTGTAATGAGGAGCTACTATTCACAATTTACATTGTTTACTATTTACATCAAATAAGGCAAATAAACAATTACATTCAGTGAAGAATAGGTCATGTTCTCATGACTGATTACATCATCATGAGTCTCAACCCAGACACAAAAAATGAATGTCAATATTACAAAAAAGTATCCAAAGACTGAAAATATACTTACCACCAAGAATTCCTTTTTGTCCACCATCTCATTGCCATCAGTATCAAACATGTTGAAAGCGATTCTAAAACCTGCATGTGGCTCTGCCAAAACAGCCCACCCCATTTAATTATTTATTTGCTTGGAAAGAAAGCAAATATACAAATCTAAGATACTATTTGGTGGCTGTATATAAAAGCTATATCCTCAGCTAATTTAAATTAATACATTTGTGTACATAGTAAGTGAAAATCTATGAAAATATAAACTTAAACAAGATTTCAGGAAGACAAGATGTTGAAATGGACATAGAGATGTATGATTATTTTTTTTTCCATGCTGAAATACACAGGAGAAAAGGGAAAGAAGAAAAAAAAAAAAAGGGTATTGTAACATACAGCAACACATTTAGAGTTTAGACATTTGTAAATAAGTTTTTGGCTTATTTCTCCAAAAGTACTTACTTGTTAAAATACATAAGAGGAATAAATATTCGGTGTAAGATATCACACCTGAAGACAAAATAAAAAGTTATTCCATATTAGTTTCACCTTCTCTTCATATCCTAAGCTTGCAAATATGAAATCTATGTATAGGAAGGAGAATTTTTGTACTTGTGCATATGCGTATCCATATTTGTGCTTATGTGTTAGACTTGCCTAATATATTCACCTATGGGCTGGGTTTTTGTCTGCATTTCTTTTTCAGTATTTTTAAAAGAGAAAAATACATGAAATATGTCAAACAAACAACTTCAGTCAGTGGAGAATCGTTCATTGAACAGAAGCTGGCTAGACTCTTAGGAGCCAATATAAATAACTGCCTCAGTTTTCTCTCTGAAAACCCCAGAAATAATTTACAACATTCTCTAACAGTATGAGAATATTTACTCTGAGAACGTTAATAGTGCTCCCTCCTGACACATACCGTTTGAATACATTTATTGACTTTACTACATGTTTTGTAAGTGCTTGTCCAATATTAACTGAAAATGAACATTTTAATAATCATCACCTGAAATGCATATTAAAACGCTTACTAAATGAAGGTGTGAATTTTGTCTGGTATCATAAGCTGTACTTTTGCTTAACTAGTTCTGGAATAAAAAGATAACCTTACAGAATGCCCATAGTACTGATGTCAAAAAAGACCGGTCAGCATGACTAACAGAAGGGAGTGTTTACTGAGCTTTTCTTAGTATGAAGAAGAGTTGAATGGAAGATACTAACTGCTTATGTCTTTAGTTTTACGCCCTAAGCAAAACAGATAATAGAAAACAAATAGCTGACAGCTGTTTCAGTGTAATCCCAGACATATACTACGTATGGACACTATCAATTTAGAAAATTCTGATTTATAATGTACTGTGCAGTTTTTTAATGTGAAGCCATGTAGTCATTGTAAAATCAGAAGCCCTGATGCTGAGTGGTCAGTCTTCTGTTGTCATAGCTGACAGCTGTTTCAGTGTAATCCCAGACATATACTACGTATGGACACTATCAATTTAGAAAATTCTGATTTATAATGTACTGTGCAGTTTTTTAATGTGAAGCCATGTAGTCATTGTAAAATCAGAAGCCCTGATGCTGAGTGGTCAGTCTTCTGCATTTCATGCTTTTTTCAAAAAGTCTCAATTTTTTTTTCAGCACTGACATTCATTTAGAATAGCATTAATTATTTCCCCCATTCCTTTTGAAATCTGAAAATAAATTAAAATAACATAAATCAGACACACCCCTCCTGTTTCAAGACTTTTGAATATTATACTTGCCAGTGCAAACACCATTCTCCTGTACTTAGTGGATCCTATCACCTGAAAACTTATGAAGCATTAGAATGTTAAGATGCAATTATCAGACTTACTATGATAAAAATAACAATACAGTGGATGATTTAAGATTTTTTGAAGATTTTTCACTCAAGTGCCAAAATATTAATGCATAAATCTCAATGATACGTGAAATAAGCTAATTTTCTTTCAAAGTCTGTGTCTTTTAGAACTGTTTAAGTTTCTAGCCAAAAGAAAAATAAACTCTCTGCTTAATTAGTAAGAAGAACTTACAGATCTGCTTTTACCAAGGAATAAAACAAAGTTCTAGTTTGAAAAATGCTGTAATTCAAATTTGTAATGCAACAAAACCTTGGATGCAACAAAACTACTGTCAAGTTCCAGATGTCCTGCCAACTGTTCCAAAGCATGTGAAAATTATTCAGCTCAAAGTCAATTTTGCTATAAGGAATATTCTCCTCAAAAAGAATCACTGAACCCCTGCTTAGGAAATTGCTTCAGCATATGGCTTTCACAGGCTGAAGTAGATATATGTGCAGTATATTTTATTTAATTAAAAATCTTGTCCAAAAGAGATGACAGAGTCACCTTACATCTATGTTTTCAGGTCACCTGGGATTATAAGCAGAATGAATGAAAAAGTGAACTGTTAGCCCAGGAACAGACTCTATTGCCAGATCAGCAAGAACTTTAACAGCCTAATTATCTGTGAACACAGTATAAATTAAAAAGAACCAGAATAAAAACTAGAACTGAACTTCAAAAATCATCATAAACAACACACCTGTGCACTGTAATGAGGAGCTACTATTCACAATTTACATTGTTTACTATTTACATCAAATAAGGCAAATAAACAATTACATTCAGTGAAGAATAGGTCATGTTCTCATGACTGATTACATCATCATGAGTCTCAACCCAGACACAAAAAATGAATGTCAATATTACAAAAAAGTATCCAAAGACTGAAAATATACTTACCACCAAGAATTCCTTTTTGTCCACCATCTCATTGCCATCAGTATCAAACATGTTGAAAGCGATTCTAAAACCTGCATGTGGCTCTGCCAAAACAGCCCACCCCATTTAATTATTTATTTGCTTGGAAAGAAAGCAAATATACAAATCTAAGATACTATTTGGTGGCTGTATATAAAAGCTATATCCTCAGCTAATTTAAATTAATACATTTGTGTACATAGTAAGTGAAAATCTATGAAAATATAAACTTAAACAAGATTTCAGGAAGACAAGATGTTGAAATGGACATAGAGATGTATGATTATTTTTTTTTCCATGCTGAAATACACAGGAGAAAAGGGAAAGAAGAAAAAAAAAAAAAGGGTATTGTAACATACAGCAACACATTTAGAGTTTAGACATTTGTAAATAAGTTTTTGGCTTATTTCTCCAAAAGTACTTACTTGTTAAAATACATAAGAGGAATAAATATTCGGTGTAAGATATCACACCTGAAGACAAAATAAAAAGTTATTCCATATTAGTTTCACCTTCTCTTCATATCCTAAGCTTGCAAATATGAAATCTATGTATAGGAAGGAGAATTTTTGTACTTGTGCATATGCGTATCCATATTTGTGCTTATGTGTTAGACTTGCCTAATATATTCACCTATGGGCTGGGTTTTTGTCTGCATTTCTTTTTCAGTATTTTTAAAAGAGAAAAATACATGAAATATGTCAAACAAACAACTTCAGTCAGTGGAGAATCGTTCATTGAACAGAAGCTGGCTAGACTCTTAGGAGCCAATATAAATAACTGCCTCAGTTTTCTCTCTGAAAACCCCAGAAATAATTTACAACATTCTCTAACAGTATGAGAATATTTACTCTGAGAACGTTAATAGTGCTCCCTCCTGACACATACCGTTTGAATACATTTATTGACTTTACTACATGTTTTGTAAGTGCTTGTCCAATATTAACTGAAAATGAACATTTTAATAATCATCACCTGAAATGCATATTAAAACGCTTACTAAATGAAGGTGTGAATTTTGTCTGGTATCATAAGCTGTACTTTTGCTTAACTAGTTCTGGAATAAAAAGATAACCTTACAGAATGCCCATAGTACTGATGTCAAAAAAGACCGGTCAGCATGACTAACAGAAGGGAGTGTTTACTGAGCTTTTCTTAGTATGAAGAAGAGTTGAATGGAAGATACTAACTGCTTATGTCTTTAGTTTTACGCCCTAAGCAAAACAGATAATAGAAAACAATTATCAAACTTACTATGAACTCACTCCTATAACAAACTAAAATACCCTTCCTCAGGCTGGAAGGACCCTTGATCACAAAAACCCCTCACCCTCTCAGCATCTCTAGTGAAAAGCAGAAGTGCTGGAAGTAAAGAACTAGTAGTTAACCAATCATATAGATGAATGATATTGGTACACTCAGAGATAAGGTAATTTTGCATTTTCTTGTGTATAAAATAAACCCTGTGTTATGACGAAGGTGTGCTAGGCTTTATGAATTTACCACCTGGTACCCCTCTCTATGCATAACTGGAATAAAGAAATACCTTGTCTTTGTGTGTGTGACTGGATTATTGCAGTCACATGTACACGGGCCCTAACTTTGGGACAATAGTACCAATGAAGAGAAGCATCTTACAGTTCAGCAAGAACCAGAAACAATGACTTAGAGCTCTCCTAAAAGCCCTTAGCCGTCCTGATCTTTGAGGCCTGTTTTCTATGCAATCAATTTAGTCTGTCCTCCAAAATCAAGTGTTAAGTCAGTACACAATATGAGATTATTTCAAAAGAGTACAAAAAATGTATTTAGATGCCTTAGATAAAGATACCTATCAGCTGGGATTTTCAAGCGTTGCTGGCTGTCTCCTTGATTTCAGTCCAAGTCAGGTGCAGAAGTTTTTCCACAAACAGCTATATCTTCGGATTTATAGATATCTTTTAAAATTTGACTTTACTGTATATGTGACAAAACTATGTAAATAGTAATCTGATTTTTCTTTTTTCCACAAAACACCCTGTATGGTTTCAACTCAAAAAACTGTATCGTTCACATGGATTTTACAATTAGTGAACATATTTAACATCAGCACTTCCAACACTGCCAAAGTAAGAAACTTTGGCCTCTTCTCCTAATATTTACAGCACAAAAAGTTTTAAATTAATTCTGTCCTGATCTAATGCTAGGAGGAATTTTCTGTCCTCTTGAATAGTTGAGATATTAAAATCTCTTGGATATTTATATCTCTTGGATTTGCCCAAATGCCTCCCCAAAACTTAGATCATATGATACTCCTCACTAAAAGCCACCTTTCTGAAAGAGGAGCTCCTTGAAGAAAATCAGGTCTCCTATACTAAAACATAAAAGAAAACATAACCCACCACAGAGATCTCAACAAATATCACAGTCTGGAATAAAAAGGCAATACAAAAGACAGACAATTAACTAAATGGTCTTTGGAACCAAATCACATACGAAGAATCATAAAAACAGTCAAACTTTAGCAGCTGAAACATTGCCCTCCCAACTTCCATTCCATTAATGGAAAATAATAATAATAATAATAAATATATATATATTTTCCCATCTTTTAATCCAAGAGCAAACTTAAGTCTTCATAACTAAGATTTTACTACAGCTAGATCTAGTAAGGAAAGTTGCTAAGTATTTTTAACACCACCTACTCTTTTCCTCAATTTATACATTGCTCTGAAGATCAGCAAAGATTAAATGCAGGCATTTAAAGAGCATACTTTATGTTTTATCTTCTTGATTTTACACAGTACCTTGCAGAAATTAGTTTTAAAAGGCCTGCTTGAATGTGTTTGGACAAGCAGCTATCAAGAAATCAGACACCTCAAAGGTTCTCATTCAGTGATATAAAATGTTCTTTAATAGCCAGTCAATAAATGTAAATATCTATTTTGTTTGTTTGATGACACCTTCTTTGTTGTAAAACAGAGGAAGAAAGAGCAATTGTCAAGTAGTCCATCACAGGTATGAAGAGAACAATATAAAAGGCCTTGAAAGTGTTCTCTCCTTTTGTTTGTACTGGTGTATTGCAGCTGTAGACAGATAGTTCTGGTTGATTGCTCTGAACGTTATGGGAGAGAAGCTCTGAAATGAGGACTGAACCTAAAGAAAAGCTTACACTAGGATCAGAAAGAACAGAGGGAGGTCACTGAAAGGTGAAACACAAAAATAAAACTTAAGGGCAACTAGCATAGATCTATGTGGCTTATCTGATTTAAATGCATCTATGGCACTTCTATGCTTTATATTAAAATGTGTATGTTCTAAAGAAAATTAGTAAAATAATCTTGGAATTTTCATGTCACATGCTAAATAAAAACTAAATTAGAATTAAGGAGACCTGAATTCCATTCCCATTCCTTTCACTGTCATACTGAATGACCTTATCAGTCTTAAGAACCATCATATTTTCTTTTATTACCTACAAAATGGGAAAACAGAACTCAGCTTCTTGTAAAGCATGCTGAAAAGCTATGTAAGTGCTAAAGTTTATTACTAATTTTACCAGCTTATCAAGTCAGTTTTGAGTTCTCTTAATTCCATCAACTTTTGTAGAATTTCACTGGCAGAAAATTGGTCTCTAGATCTTCCTCCATGACAATAAACTGAATATGAAACATTCAGACATCTGTTTAACAAACTCTAAGTTACCAAGTCACTTAAAAGAGGCTAGCTGTAAGATGGCATGATTAAAACACTGTAAAGACTAAAGAGAACTTGCCATGCTGTAAAATGTAGAAAGCAACAAACACCTTTTATCTTTTTGAAGATGTGACTGATTAAAGTACAACATCACTTTAGACACAATAAATTAATACATGATAATTTGGTTCAGGAAAATAAATTCTTATCCCTCACCTTTGTCATTAAGATTACGGAAAAGTTTGGATGATCCTTTCCAAACTGGTGGTGTTTCCATAAGGATCTGATTCAGTTCCTAAAGATAAGATTTTTAAAAGATAAAAGTATATACTTAAAAAAGTATAAACTTTAAAAATAATAAACTTATTTTAAAAAGTAGTTAATGGATGATCAATAAATTCTATAAAGGAAAGGAACTGCATGCAAATCTACCAACTAATTTAACTTCAGTTTACCACAATGACCTTGGAAGTACTCAAGCACATACATAAATTTTGCAAACATGATTATTGTAAGCATTGTTCATCTGCATGAATACTATGTGTTTGCAGAGTTGGAAAAAGACGTAATGTATTTGTTGCCGAAATTACTCACCACTGCTCATATTCACTGAAGCAAAGGATAAGCTCCCCTGGATTTCAGTAAGGTTTTTATACAAGCTCCAAGAAACTGCTCTTTTAAAACACCCAACCTGAACTAAAGCAAACTTGAACCATAAATACGAATCTACTTTACTTAAAATACAGGGATACAGACCAAGTTGTTTTGCAGTTGCAGAAACAAAAAAAAAAAAAAAAGAGGAAATAAAAAAAGAAAAAAAGGAAAAAAAAAGTATGAGACATTTAAACACTACAAAAGGTAGATGAAGTGGCATAAGTACTTCAGGCAGTTTTTGAGACATCTGTTACACTCAGACACTAAAGAAACTCAGTCAAATATGGGCTGAGGAAGGAACGGACAGAGGCTTGAGAAGGTCAGTAAATCCAACATAACAGGCACAGCTGCATAAGTATTTTTGAGATTCTGGATTCAGCTGAGTCTGAGTTGACAAAAATTAAGAAATTATAATCTCCCTTTTTTTAAAAAAAAAATAAATACTAAGACATGCTCTTATTTCTCTTGTGACTAAGTTTACATTGTGAAAGAACATAACTGTATCAAAATCAACATTTGTAAAACAGCACATAAATTATTGCTCACCTGCTTTGAAAGAGATCGCCACTTTTTAGCACCTGCAAAAAAAGATACAGTTATGAATACACAAAATTTAGTTATATCAATGTGGTGTCATAAAAAATAGACTGCATCTATGCTATGTTTTCTAGCCAGAGGTATTTTCCCTACTTCATGAGACTAATCTTCAACTTGTTTAAAAAAACCTATTCTTTGTTATTAAAAAAGTATGCAGATACCCAAAATCCTAATTTTAAAGAACCAATGCAGATGTAGGTTTTTAATCCAACTCTGTTTCAGTGACAGAAAAGAATTTCTACCTCCAAAATGCACCATTAAAACATTAAACAGAAAACAGAGTGCTTTCATGCTAATCTGTGGTATAAATATTCTGAAATTATTATTTAGTCGCGTAAGTATTACAATGCAGATTGTAGAGAGACCTCAGTTCTGTTTCTTCCTTCGGGGATTAGTCACACCACTTCAAGCAAATACAGAAAAAAAATCCTTGAAAATACAATAGGTGAAAATTCCCTTCGGCCATTCCTGACTCAGACTCATGCTTCCTTTTATACTCTCTGTCAGGCTCAATTTTTTGTAAATAGTTTAAACAGAGGAGGTGAAAAGGGCCTCTAGTTCAGAACTGAACTGCTTGTTAGCACTGAAAACTGACAAGACTGAGACGACCTTTTCTTCCTAATGCCTGACATGCCAGGCTCCAGGAGCAAAGAAAGACACTCGCATTCAACAAACAGATATCCAGAACCATCCAAGAATTCAAAACCTGAGGTTCATCATCACCCTCTCTAGACAAACATTTGCACAAATGCAGTATCAAGATAAAGCACTGTGAATATCAGAATTTTCAATGGTACGAAAAGTAGCATAGTATGTGGTCAAATTCATACCTTCTGTGTGTATTACAAATTGCTTTCTAATGATGAACTCAATACTCTATTAAATAACTATCACAATACGTATAACTTTCAGTTTAATGTAAATTAAAGCTTTGTCTCAAAAAAACTAAATACACCCCCCAAACAACCTCATTCACCATACAAACTGATTTATATTTATATCTATAAATATATCTAAATTTTCAATCAGAAAATAACGCAGTCTCTTATACTAGATACAGATTTTCTTTCTAGACAAGCAAGATTTATGTGTATATATACTTTTTACAGCTCAGTATTGAGCTAAAATTACAATAAATAGAGCTAAAGGGTACAAAATATATTTCCTCTTCTCTTAATTGGCTTTCTAAACATATAAACAAACATTCAGATGTTAAAAATGTATCGAGTATGACTGTTAAAAATTAAATTTCCCAAATGAAAGCCTGCACCATAAAGGAAGGAGCAACAAGAAAATTTTAGCATTTATTTTATATTTTTTATAATAACTGCATGGAGTAAAAAGAAAACATACTCTTACCAAATTAGTTAGTGTTTAATCAAAAAAGGAAGTGAACACCCTCTTGACTTTTGTAGGGTTCACAAGATTTCCAAAGTAAATCTATCACAATAGCTGCATTCAGTCCATCACAAATCTCATTCAGGTCTAGTATTATTAGCTTTTCTATAGAGTAGACATAAAGAGCTACTATTATTACTCTTCAAAGGGTGTTTTTGCTTTTTGACAAAACTCAAGACCTTTCTAGTCTCCATTCACAAAAAAAGCCAGGTGTGTGTGGGTTTTTTATTTTACAAAATGTAGATGGTCTAATATATCAGCCTGAATGGACCCAATTATTTACAACTTGCAACTTATTAAAAAAGTGATCCAAAAATACAAAGTAAGATGTTTAGAATGCATTCTTTTATTCTAAAAAATACCTTTGTTAAACTTACTATTTCAGTGGAGCAAGACAGAATATTAAGACTTGCCCAAACAGACAAAGCAGTACTTTGATAAAGCTGCAGTACAAAGGTTAAAATTATCAGTCAGAGATCAGAAGTGGGAAGTAGCAATACCTGCAGGTCACCTACTTCATCTCTTACTTCCTATTTGTTAGCCTTCTGTCCCAGGCAACATGACTTCCACCATAATTAAGTCATCCACTTCAATTTAGCTACAGCCTTTTACACTATCCCTTAAAATAATTATCTCTGTCATGTAATCTTTGATACTTGTCTGTAAAACTAAAGGACATCCAGGTTAGTTTTGCTTTAAGTCTGAGATTAACTGGATGCACAGGAAGGATTTTGGTACAAATGGGGTTTGCTACACTGAACTCAGAAGCATGTTTGCACTGTTCAACTCCAGACCTCTTCTACTCTGGCATGAGATAAATAGAACGTCCTTAAGAGCTTAATGCTTTTTGTTGGGGTTTTTTTGCTTTTAAAACCGAGTACTTGTGGTGAGAGAGGAAGAAGCATAAATTTCAACAGCATGGTCAAATCAGATGAACCGTCATAAAATGAAGTTAAAACAAAATGTTTAGAATCATAGAATGCTAGGTTGGAAGGAACCTCAAAGATCATCTGGTTCAACCTTTTTAAAGTAATAGTATAGTTTATATGAGATGGTTTAACCAGTACACGGCACAAATGCTTCATGACCATATATGGTGAAACCAAATTCCACAGTAACAAAAAAAGGAAGACTTGGAGATCTGGGCAGAGGAAGCAGGTATGAAGTGCTGAGGTGTGTTTTTATTAACTTCTGTGATAAGGAATCTGCTTCCTCTCTTTTAACTGCAGGGCAAAAAAATAAGAATGAAGATTTGCTTTTTGGTAAGAGTTTCAAAGTTTTGCAAGTTTTCAACATCTCAGCTCTATCTTCTGTCTTCACTGTTGCAATGAGATAATATCTTTATTAAAAAGTTACAGAAGTTTTGATCACTGATGTGCCATGGCTGAATTCTTTCCTCTTGTTTCACTACTGTTAAGAGAACAAAGAGGAAAAAGTTAACATCTGCACAGAGCTTCAAGCTCTCCTCTGCCTGTTTTAGCTGCTTTGACTGTTCTCTATACTAGCTTTGTGGTGTAGACATAAGAAAGAAAGACCTAAGGTGAGTTATTATACATGTCACTTTCCCCAGAAGTTGTGTGCTTCTACCAATGCACCGCAAGCCTGAGGGCCAGGAAATCAAACTACATCAGAAATGGCTCATTTTACTATTTAGTTGCTCTTTGATACTTAGAGAAAAATGTCAACAGTAAGTCAATTAAAGTGGATAGCTTACTTTTCACTAATTTAATTAACACATAGTGCTAAGTCTGGCAACTTTTACGTGTAGAAAGTGGACCCCCTGGGGGACTGAAGTTCCTACTCAAAGCATGTCATTTAGAAAGCTGTGATATGGTTGTAAAATCTCTATAGGGCAAAAAATATCCCAACATGACAGCAGATAACAATACAAGACGGCAAAAACTGCAACTAATTATCCTAAATTATTTAGAGAATTCCTATCTTGTCTGCCTATTTACACAGAAACTATACAGAGAAGTTTTCCAGTAATACTGGCTTGCTCAGAAAGAAACCATAACTTTAACTGTTATTTAACTGTTAACGCGAATGGTACAAATTAACTTCTTGTCTTCCATGCCTGTTGAGGTGTCTGTGACTTCTAAGATAAGAATACTTAACTAATGACTAGTACACAGATGTTTACACTTTAATAACAATCAGGGTACTGATTGTATACTTGGATACGATTAAAAATAAAACTCTGCAGTACTTCTTTACCACAATCAGAAACAGAAGTAGTAACCAAAAGCAAATGGGAAAACAGCACACACAGCTGGCATTTTCCATAGCAATTTTATCAATATAGAACTCCTGCTTACGTTTGGGTTCATCGCTTGTGACAGCCTGAATGAAGTCATATGGAGTCATGTATAGCTGTCCTTCAAATTCTAAACTGGCAAACCTACGAAAGCGCTGCTCCCGAGGAGTTGCATAAAGATGTAAATCTTCAAGGTCTGATCTGTCTTCTGTAACCTTCAAAGACAGAAGGAAACAATTGTAACGTATGAAAATTTTGGTTTACAATTGCCACTGCCATTCACCATAAATAAACTGTAAATGTAAAGATGGTAACTCACAAATTCAAAAGCATCCAAGTATTTTTGTACGGTAAGAGCTGAAATTCTCAGGATTTCATTACTATGCTTTTCAGTCTTCTATAATACTAGCAATAAATCTTTATGCATTACAATTATTGATGGCGCCCAAACTCAGGAAAAAAAACAACCAAACAAAAGTGAATTTAGGCTCCTTAATCTTAGAAAAAGGACCAACTTTAACTCGATAAAGTCCATATAACTTCAGCAGTTAAGACTTCAAACAACACTGTTTAAATTATTTCAGTTGACTGACATTTCCAGAAGAGAATGGAATAACACTTCTTAGTTATTGCTTCTTAGTGTAGAGTGCAACTGTTGACAATAATAGGCAAGAAATCTCCAGTGTAAATCTTCAATGGATACTGCTATTTCAAGTATCCAATGCAATTAAAGCTACCATACTTGGGGGAACAGAGGAAGACAAAAAAAAAATTATTCCTCCAGAGTTACAGCAGTAGTATTTGGCACTAAGTTCACACCTCATGAGAGTTTACAGATGTCAGGAGTTTCTGGTATATTTACCACCCAGCCGATTTACATGTAAACTTAGTAGTACCAAACTGAAAGTGTTCTAAATTATCACATTTTGGGTTACACTGTCAAAACTTTTAACAGAAAATATACTACTGCTATCTGAATTTTTTTTTAGCCCATAATGATGTTAAGCTTCTCTGTCGAATCAGTATTTTGAAGAAAATGTAAGTATCCTAGACATTATTTTCAGAGATGGAAAAAAACCAAACGCAAACTGTTTATTACATGGGAGACCAATGATACAGCCAACTTCTCCCAGTATGTTAAAATAGGAATGCAGTATCTTATAAATGAAATATCTCAAGATGCTGTTGTCCTCACTATTATTGTAATTTCATACAGTATTCCGAAAAATCTTCAGGTGTCAAAATACAGAAAGACAACAAGTAGCACATGTTTTACCTAACGTACGTTTTCTTTTAAAAACTGAGAGAACAGCCAAATATATTTTGTTTTTCCAGAGAGGCATCTAAACAGAAAGAGAGGATGGGAGATGTAAGCAGTTCCTGTCCTCTAAAATATGACAGTCCTTGACTACCAATGGAAATTGGTTCTCCAAAACCTTTCTAAGAATAGTTTTCAGATTTTAGAAATTAGAAGCAAAGGCACATTAACACTGGGCAGTTGAAAATCTGGGCTCACTTTCCTTCTGCTTTCCAAACAAAGTCCTTGAATAATAACACAGTAAGACTACTGCAACAAAATAAAATGTTATGGCCTCAGTTCTAACTAAGAGATTAAATTATGTTTTTAAAATGGATCAATAATGAATGTGTTTGAAGAGGTCCAACTACTATTTGGAATTAAAAAGAAAAAAAAATAACATGTACACTCACAACGTAAGAGAATATTAAAAATGTATTGATATTTGGGAGTCTTGGCACTCCAGTACTTTTATCTAGGACATTTTAACCAGCCTTCTAGAAGGAAAAAAGACTACTGACTGAGTAGCACAGAAAAAACTGTCATAGAAAGTAAGAGTAATACAAACACCTATACAATTATTTACTTTTCAGAAGACTGCTCTATATACAAATATTCTGTACTTCTGCCTGATAAGTACTTTCAAACCTGGTCTCTGTGTTGTTTTTTTTCCATTTTCAAATTGTTACCAAATTACATATGAAGAGAAAAAAAAAATAAAAAATCTACCAGCCAGACATACAACCTCACCTTAGAGTGCCAGGAAAAAGCTGAATTCTCTTCTGACATACCCATATGCAAGCCAAAGTATTTCTGTCTTATCTTACTGTTTGAGTATTACAGTCCTACTGATCCTTCAGCAGTCCAGTGGCATTCAAGCTATGCCTTCATGTGGGATTTACACAAGTCAATGGTTTTGGTAGAGCTTGTAGTGACGTAACTTATTATCTCTGTATTTGAAGTTTAATAGTTTATTTATTTTTAAAATATATATTATTTAATCACTATAACAAACGTAACTTTTGAATATATGCAGGTTGCAAGCATGAGTAATAAAGCAATCTTTCTGCAAAGTAACTTTTCAGAAAAGAAAGGGCTTTGAGGCCATATTACACATGCAGTAGGTGTAATAAACTGTAATCAGTCACAATAAATCATGCTTCATCAGGAGAATCTGTAGATAATGTATCACTCAAGAAATATCATCTTAGTTTTGATCACTGTTAGTATTTGAAGAGCATGTTGAGATTGTTTGCTCTCAAGAAGTTCACACTATCTCAGGTACTAATACTTAATACTGCACTTAAGACACCTGGAAAAGCATTTGCTAAATTCTCAGACAGATACTTCAACATTATCTTAATTACTCAGTGCTACTGTAATTATAAAATAACATACTACAATCATGGAATTTTCCAGACACACTTAACTCATGCCTATCAGTATTCAGGTGTGCAAAACCTTAATTTCTACCTCATTTTAGCCAATCTATGCTTTCCTCTGACTATATAGCAATGCCAATATTTCACCCTCCAGCTCAAAGTCATCGTAAACTGATATGAATACAGCCTGCCAGCAAAAAAATCAGTACCTGCTTAAAGGCTCAATACTCTGGATGTTCTTGCTCTGGCACTTTATGTTAATTTTTCCACATGTCAAACTAGATAAGGGAACTGCTTTGACTGAGAACTTTTTGCTTTGGTGGTGTTATTTTTAAGCCAGATAAATGCCTGGACCTACAAGATCAGTCACTTGTTTCAAAACCTAGAGCACAGTAACTTGAAGCTTACAGAAAATAAAATATCACCTGTTCCAGCAGCAAGCTCCATCTACTTCAAGTTAAAGTGATGGGAAAAACACAAGCTTAAGCAGAATTTTATTCTAAGGAATACAAGTACCACTTACTTTGAACTTTGTGGTTTTATATGAAAGAATCAAAACAAGTTGCTTCTGCTGTTGATCCAATGTGAATTCAAACAAGTGTAAACAGGACTTAATGTGTATTGGACCACTGGTTCATACACTATGTCCAAATAAAAGCAAGGTTTGGCTGCAGAAGACTCAACACACACACCTCAGCAAACTGACAAAACCATCTTTGGGAATAACATTAGTTTTGTCCAAATGTATTGTTTAGAGTCTTCCTTCTTCTATTACTGCTTACCAATTTATCTAACTTAGAGAAACTTTAAAGTCTCTTGTGTACATTTTTAATTATTAGGAACTAATCAATATGCCAAGCCATTCCAAAGTATGACTTCAATTTGTACATCTTCAGGCATTAATTTAAGAAACTCATCTCAGCACAGAACTATGAAATGTTTCATTTTTTCCCCAAGATTAGCAGATCATAATTCAGTAAGATAAGTATGAGAGTCTTACTGACATCAAGTGCTCTCAGTTTATTTGATATTTATGTCCAGGTTAGGCAATCTTACTGTATCAGGATTAGTATAAAATCCAATGGATGCAAGAACAAGACAGAGAAAGTAGATGCTGAATAATACCTCAGGGAAGGAACAGGATTCAAGAAGATTTCTATTTGAAGTTTCAAAAGCTTATCCAGACTAAAATTCTCTGTAATTATCAACAATCTTAAAAACTTTAATGAAAGTACATCTCTTTGACAAACAAGACTTTTTAAAAATGTTTTACTAATCCTCTTGGCAATCCTGCCTCATAATTACTATGATCTTGTATCATGTTATGGTTCTCCACCTTTTAAAAACTGGACACGGTCATTTTCTTCAAGCAGTATTATCTTAATTTTAGGCATAGCAGGTTAGCTCTGGTTAGTTCTGGTACATCAACTTATATTGTTACTAGAACTTCTAAGGGTAAAAAAATGCCCCTCAGCTGAAACCAACAAGGTAGCTTCTTTGTAGCTAGAAGAAGAAGCCAGAATTTCCATCCTTCCAACTTCACAACTTACAAAGTAAACATAAAGAGGCAAGACCAAAGCTCACCAGCGCTGACAAACAATGTATTATCTTTTCCCTAATCTCAAAAAAATTTAAGTATTAATAGTTGTAATCAAACAGCTCATGGTTATCATCCTTCTGCCCTTCCTCCCTCAAACTCTGGTGTCTTGTTCCTCTGTATTTCACCTCCAATCTTCTGTCCTCCTATCATAGAATCATAGAATCTTAGGAGCTGGAAGAGACCTCGAAAGATCATCTAGTCCAACCCCCCTGCCAGAGCAGGGTCACCTAGAGTACATCACACAGAAACACATCCAGGTGGGTTTTGAATGTCTCCAGTGAAGAAGACTCCACAACCTCCCTGGGCAGCCTGTTCCAGTGCTCTGTCACTCTTACAGTAAAAAAATTTTTTCGGATATTCCCCTTGAACCTCCTATGCTCCAATTTGCTCCCATTACCCCTTGTCCTATCACTCGTCATCACTGAGAAAAGTCTAACTCCGTCCCCCTGACACTCACCCCTTACATAGTTGTAAACATTGATGAGGTCACCCCTCAGTCTCCTTTTCTCCAAGCTAAAGAGACCCAGCTCCCTCAGTCTTTCCTCATAAGGCAGATGTTCCACTCCCTTAATCATCTTTGTAGCTCTGCACTGGACTCTTTTGAGCAGTTCCCTGTCCTTCTTGAACTGAGGGGCCCAGAACTGGACACAATACTCCAGATGCGGCCTCACCAAAGCAGAATAGAGGGGGAGGAGAACCTCTCTTGACCTACTAACCACACCCTTTCTAATGCATCCCAGGATGCCATTGGCCTTCTTGGCCACAAGGGCACATTGCTGGCTCATAGTCATCCTCCTGTCTACCAGGACCCCCAGGTCTCTTTCACCTACACTACTCTCCAGCAGTTCAGCCCCCAACCTGTACTGGGACATGGGGTTGTTCTTCCCCAAATGCAAAACTCTACACTTCCCCTTGTTGAATTTCATCATGTTTCTC